GTGTGTAGTTTTCTGGAGGTTTCCCCTAGCAACGAGCAGCAGCACCACCACACTAACATTAACACACACCTATACGCGGAGAACGAACGATACCAGCCCCCAGCCTTCTCTCTCTCACTCTCGGCTTAGGGGAAGCTACAAACCGCACACGAAACTATTTCACCGTTCATTCGAGATAGTCGCTTTAGAAAAAAAAAAAAATATATATATATAACCAAATTTTTCCCAAAAAAAATAGTGTCAACTTCTGTTGTCACGTGCAAGAGATATAACTTTTTTTTTATTTAACGCCATATATAACGAAATCCCATAAAATTCCAATAAAGTTAAAGGCAGATAACGATTTTGTGTATAATTTGACCAAAAAAAATTGAAACCAATTTTTTTTTTCAATCACTATTATTGAAATATTATTAATAAATTTTAATAAATCTAAATTTGTTACACATTTTGTTTTTTTTTTTGGCAATTTGCGCTATACTTTAAACTATCACTACTTTGTGGAATTTTCTTTAAAATACAATTTTTTGCTACCTACCTTGTTTTGAATTTATTTTTTCGATTATAAATTAAAATTAGATATTTTTATTGAACTATTAATTAGTTAAAATAAATTTAAATCAGTTTTTTTGATTCAAATGAGTTAAATTCGACTAGAATAAAGAATATAGTTTTATACTAAATTTTTTTTTACTAATTCGAAAAAAATTTGTTTTAGTCGAATTTAACTTATTGTATATACTTTAAATTTGAAGTAGTAAAATTTTTAATTAATTTAAATTAGTGATTCACTTTTTGGCTTTTGAATTAGTAAAATTCAACTAAAAAGCAATAATTACTCTCTAAATCTGAATTAGTAAAAATGTTTACTAATTTGAATTAGTGACTCATTTTTTGCTTCTGAATTAGTAAAATTTTACTAATTATTAGTAACTTTTACTAACAATTAGTAAAATTTTACTAATTCAAAAGCAGAAAGTGAGTCACTAATTCAAATTAGTAAACATTTTTATTAATTCAGATTTAGAGAGTAGTAATTAATTTCAATTAGTTAAAATTTTTACGATTTACCCTGAAAAAAAATTCTAGTTAGAATAACCAGAATTCTGGTTAGGGTATATTTAACATTTTGATTCTGGTTAGGTTAACCAGAATTCTGGTTATTTTAACGAGAATTCTAGTTAATTCAACTAGAATTCTGGTTAACATAACTAGAAAGTAATGTTAAATATAGCCTAACCAGAATTTTTTTTTCAGTGTAGAGAATAGCAAAGAGACTTAATTTTTAAATTATAACTATTTAAATCTGAATTAGTTTTAAAAATAACTATTTGTTAGTAAAGAGTAACTAATTTTCAGTGGGAAAGTAATTGATAAAAATAGTCAAATTTGACTAATTGCTCTCTAAAAAATTAGTAAAACTTTTAACTACTTTGAATTAGTTACCTTTTGCTTTGGAATTAGTTAAATTTTACTCATTTGAAAGTAATTATTGACTGAATTAGTTTTTTTTAGTTGAAATATTACTATATTTTAGTTAGTAACATAATTTTTGCTATCAAATTAATTATCTTTAACTAATTTAAATTTAGAGAGAAAATTTAAATAAATGTAGATTTAGAAAGTATATATATATATAGTTAATTATAAAAAGGTAAATACGTTGTAATTAGGAATAATCAGTGAATGACACTGAAACAAATCTAAATTGGAAAAATACATTCGCTTTAGTTTCGTTTTCGTATCGATCCAATGCTGAATTTAGTTTTATTTCGACTCAACATAAAATTCTTCTACTCCCTCTTTTTTTTTTCTTATTCTGAATTAATAACAAATTTTACTAAATTGAATTTTACTAATTCGTTTAGTAAATTTTTTTTTACAATTTAGTTATTTACTGGTATTTATTATTACCAATTTAGTTAAATATGCGTACAAAAGGCAAAAAGTCAATAATAAGTTCGAATTGATTGAATTTTTTGAATAGTAAAAAATAAATAAAATTTAAACTAAATGATAAATGAAAAAGAGATGAGAATTTTGCGTTGAATCGTTACACGAAACTAAATTCAACCTATATAAGCATTCGCTGTTGGGTTGTCACGAAATTAAAACGAAAGTACAGTTTCTTAACGGGGCCCATGGATAAAGTAAAACAGAAAGTTCTCATTTCCTTTATAGTATTAAACGCATTTAGATGCGTGTTTAAATTTTTTTTTTTTTGTCATAAATATTTTTGACAAAAATATGAAAAACAGTTTTTTTTTTCTCAATAATCTGTAATTTTTGATTAGTTAAAATTAAATAATTATAATAAATTAAATTTAATAAAAATCAGTCCCTGATTCAAATAATATAATATTTCCGCTAATCTTGTGATTAAAAATAACTATTATAACTAAATTCATTTTTTTTTTGCTAATTAGTTTTCTTTACTAATTTCCAAAGGTAAAATTTTACTAACGAGTAATTTTTAATTAATTCTAAGAGAAAACAATGACTACTTCTTTTTTATTTTTCTTTCTCTTTTTCTTCTATACGTACTTCTTTTTTCGTGTAAAAAAATTGTTTTTATTATAATTAATTTAATTATGATGAATTTTTTAATTTTGAATTTATCACGTCATATGAGTATTTTTTATACTATATATTTTATTTTGTAAACTTTGTCACATAATACACTTTTTTTTAATATGGTGTATTTGTGTATTTATATAAACGTTTATACTTAATGGTTATTTATATATATATAAGTTCGAATCGGACACAGAGTGTAACTGTTAATTGGAACTTCCTATTAGCATAATTTCACCGACAAGCAGTTCTACCTTCTCAGTTTGGCGGTAACGTTCAATAACATCAAACTCCTTAATTGGCTTAACGAGGTTCGCTTTAACTCTACAACTCATGTAAAATAGCTTCATATCAATGCAAGAAATGGCTCGTAATACTTCATTTGAGCCAAATGACATCTGCAAGCAAAATCTCAATTAAATAATTACTACAGTTTAATATATATATATATATATATATATATATATATATATATATATATATATATAGCAATTTATGTCTTGTATATATAACTCTGAATTTAAATATCAAATATTTTGTACTTCTTCATAATATATATAGTCAATAGGGTTTTGAAGATTTTTTTTTCAATTTTTTTTTTTTTGTTTATTCTACCAAACTCGAACAACTTCATTCAAACAGAAGTTACAATCAATAATATTGTTGAGATAATCGCACTCAATACATGCTGAGTACACAGAAGTGCAACAAGTGGAAAATGCTACAAGAGATGTGCGAACAACAGCGAACAGTGTATCTGCGTACAAAAGCGCCGAGTGCCGCGATCAAAGGGAAAAAAAAAAAGTAAAACACAATATGTATATGCTTATGGATGTACATATTTAATTAGATATTTTTTTTCCATCCGCTCATTCATATTTTCTAGTTATATATATATATATGAAAAATTTAATAGTTATTGCCAAATATTTTCGAGAAGTGATAAATACTGTTTAAAATAATTTTTTATTTATGTAATTTTATTTTTAAAAGCGCTGAGATATTATAATGAATCGTGATTATAATTGATTAATATTTGCATATTAACATATTAACATGACTACATATATTGTTATTCCACAAAAATGCTTCCTAAAACTTTAACCTCTCAGTTAATTCTTTTGCTTTTATAACTTTTTGCAGTGGAATAAAAAATTTTTTATTTGATTCAAATACAATCGGTTTTTTTTCTTGTCTATTTAGATCTTTGAAATAAATAAATAAAACAAATTAATTATTATATAAATAAATAAATTATTATTTAATTCAATAACTTATTATACTTAATGCAATTAATTATTATTTACTTCAAGTAATTATTATATACTTCAATTAATTATTGTTTGAAACAATTAAGTTGTATTTTGTTCTAATACAGTTTATTTGTTATAAATAATAATTATTATTGTTTCAAATAAATATTTATTTAATTTATTATTTGTTGCCAAAATCAAAAATATTCAGAAATAATTGGTATACAAATGAAATTTATTTGGATTAAAATAAAATAAATTTGGTACAAGTAAAACATTTATTTATGATAATTTTAGATAAATTTTTACAAATTTTGAAATTAATTAAAATTTTTAATTTAACAACAACAAAAAAATGCTTAACTCGATAAAATTTACATTAAAAAAAAACCTACCTACTTTAAAAAATTCATTTAAAAAACACAAATTTATTTTATTAACCTGATAACAATTTATACAAGATATGTTACAGATTTTTTTTCATAAAGAAAAAAAAATGTTTGTCTATATTATCTCTCTACTGTTTCTATTATTATTAACTCTAAATAATTATTTTTATTGTTTAATTATTATTGTTAGGTTACATTCCCGTTGAAATTGTTTTTTTTCTTTTTTTTTTCATATTTACAATCATATTCTATTAATTAACTGAAAAGAATTTATAGATGACGTGATTTGATTCACTTTTATATATATATATATATATATATTTGAAAAAGATTTTATTTAATATACGCAGAACAAAACTTTTTTTATATAATAAATTAATTAACAGATAAACAATTGTTATTTCTATGACATATTTATGTAAAAATTTTTTTGTTGTTTATTTTATTCAATTGTTTGAAAACTTAGCGTAAATAATTTAAATAAATAATTAAAATATTATAATTATTTAAATATTTATTATTAAAATAATTTATTATTAAATAATTTATTAAATAAATAATAATTTAAACAAATTATATATTTATTAGTAAATAATTAATTAAATATAACTCTTTAATGAAAAACTTGATTAAAGTTTTTTTTTTTTTTTTTTTTAATAAAAAAAATACAATTTTTTTTTTTATTTTTATAAATTAATTAAATTGTTTTGCTTTTTTTTAATAATATAATAAATAATAATTATTTATTTTTAATTATTAACAATGAAATAAATTTTTGTTTCAGGTACCCTTCTCCAGTTCACAACGGTGGACAAAACGGACCGACAATGAACTGTGGAGGATCACAAGGTAGGATACACTCGTATTGATTTCTCTCATGTTACAAAAATTTCTGTTACTTTTGACTCCGTGTGTATGTACGGCTTCTTTAAAATAAATATATATTATTATTTGCATTTAAAATTATTTTCAAATTAAATTTTTCATTTAAATTCAATTAATCAGGCAAAAAAAAAGTCAAAAACTATTTTTTTATTGTTAAAGCTCATGAATAAAGAAGAAAACAAATTAAAAAGTACTCTAAATAAAATCTGATTATAAATGAAATTAAACTAATTATATAAAAATTTAAATAACTCGCTTCCTCATTTAAATAAATTTAAAAAATTATAAAATTATAAAAATTCATTTACTGTATAAGTGCATATACTTATTGAATAAAAGAGTAATTTTTAATAAGTGAAATTTTATTTAATCAGATTTATAGACTCTAATTAAAAAATTTTAATTTCTTATTTTTTTCTGTTATGCATTTTTGATAAATTTTGCATTTTTTTTTTTTTTGTAAGAATTGAAATAATGTATATTTGAAAATATGAAAATGAAGGGCATGTGAGAAACGAAAGATTAGACATATATATATATAATTATAATATTCGTCTTATTTCATTAAGAAATAAAAAAGAAAATAATTTTTAAAATAATAAACTGCCTGAAATTATAAAAAAAAAAATTTGTCTAATCTCACGTAATTCTTATATTATTAATCAGTTATTGTGTACTTTTAGTAAATTGTAACATTTTATAATCTTCTTATACTTTCGAATGTTAAAGTCGCACTTTCCTTTATTTCTATGTTTTTTTGTTTTAAGATTTGGCATTGAACCAGTTTGACCCACTTTTTAATTATTTAGGTATGTTATTTATATCTTCCATATTAATACAATTTGAATATTAATTTTCAAAATTAATAATAAAATTCTTAAAGATAAAGAGAATATAAAATTAATTAATTTAAAAAAAAGAAAATTCTAAAAATAGTTCAATTCCGCATGGTAGAAGCAATAATAATCTGTTTATAGAATTGTTGATTAATGTGTAAATAAAAAAATGTAAAATAAAAGTAAATTTAAGTATATATATATAATGTTAAATAGCAATAAATTCAATAATTGAAAGTTATGTGTGTGAAAAAAAAAAATACTTGAACGTCTCTCCTAAAAAAAACTCATAAAACTCGAAGTTGTCGTTTATTTTCACCTTTAAGTTCGGCGAGCGAGTGTAAAAATAGTTGAATACTAAAAAAAATAAAAGTGCTATCGAGTTACATAAGTTCTAATAGAAGACTGAGAACTTTTTAATATTATACCGAATCAAAATTGACCCCAATTTCATTTTATCATTTCATTTACAAAAAAAAAAAAAAAATTGTTTGACCCATACAAATAAAATTGCAATTATTTTTTTATTATAATTAATTAAATCTATTGTTGGAATCAAAAATAAATAATTATAGTTTTTAATGAAAAAAAAAACCTATAACTAAATTTCGTTTTAAAGATATTCGATTTAATTATAAACTTTGAAAATTGTAAAGTAATTTAAAATCTCTTTAATAATGGAACAAGGAAATTATTAGAAAAATTAAGAAAACATAATATCGAGAATGCAAATCCAAATTTTATGTTAATTAATCACTATTCCTTTTTTTATATATTAAAAAAAAAAAAAAAAAAAACGTTGAGTCATAAAATATTTTAAGAGTAAGAGTCATTACTAAATTAATAACTTAATTTTTTATTAATCTATGAATTAAATTTTTATTAAACTGAAAAAATGTTTTAATCTTTTTTGTACGGATTAATTTTTTTTTTTTTCTACAAAAGTATAAATCAAGAACATTTTTTACATTTTAAGGAAATTTCCTCAGTTTTCACTGGTATAGAATTGTCATTAGTGATTAAACTTTCAAAAATTATTAAATATGTTTCACATATCTTATATGCGATTTTCTGCAATAAATTCCTTAAATATATAAATACAGACATTAAGAAATTTCATGTTAATTAAAAATTTAGAGTATTTCAACTTTTTTGTTTTAGAGTCCTTTAATGTCACATATATTATTTTCCCTTATGATAATTTTTAATTTTATTATATTTAAGGAAATTGATGTTCATGTTCACTTTTTTTTATAAAATTTAAAATTAATCTATTAAAATCTAACTTTTTTATATAAGCTTCTCTCATTTCTTTACAAAAAGTAATAGTATTTATAATAATAATAATAATAATAATAATAGTACAAAAATTTTAATAATAATAATAATAATTATAATAATATAATTAAGTATTTTTCGTTTTTAAAAAATGAGTTCTTTGCCATCAAAAATATAATAAAATAATCAATTAATTATTCCTGTAAAATAAAATTATTAGATTTAATTTTCACTGGCATAAATATAGAATAATAATTCTAATAATTGGAATATTTTCGGATTTCATTGTTCTTTTTTTTAAAAAAAAATATATGCAGCATATATTGAATTTTGCGTAAAATGTTTTTTAAAAAATGATAAATTTAGTTATTTAGCATTGAAATAACTTTATGTCAATTTGAAATCATGAAAATTGATATTTGGTTTTTTTTTTCATTTTTCGATTTTAAAACGACGTATAAGTGTGTGTAATTGACGTATAGAAATATCAGAATTATTATATATTTCAAGTCGATTTAATTCAAAATATAAATTGCTTTTGTTTTACATTTTAGTATTTGCAACTTAAAAAATATTTATTTTAGTAAATATTTTGTTTATTATTGTGTATTATTTTTTATTTAGGCGGGAAAAGGGATTTTTTTTTAATAAACTAAACGAATTACTTTAGTTATTATTTTATAATTAATGGTATAGTGAAATATTTTTATTTATTTACATATACATATATATATATATATATATATTCTTAAAATATTCACGTAATACTCAGTGTTTTTCAAGCATGCTTAAAGCTTTTGAAATATTATTAAATATTAAATTTATTTTGTTACATTTTCAAAATGCTTTTTTTACCATTTTTTTCAATTTTTATAAAATAATAAAAAGTTTTTAATTTTTTTTTTTTTAATAATTAGAATTCATCATCATCATGATATATATATATATTATATATTCACTTTTTTTTTGTTTGCTGATATTTTCAGAATATACGTGTCAGTCCATTTATTTTTTCATATATATAAAATTTTCTCCACAAATATGTACGATGTGCATTTAAATAGTAAAATGGAAAATACAGTTTATATTGAATTTTTTTTTTTTTTTTTTTCAATATGGAATTATATTTTCAGTTATAAAAAAATAAAATGGATGCAGATTTTGTTTTTTCTATTTATTATTAAATATTTTTATAAAGTAACATTCGTATATATACTCGGTGAATATATTGCTTGTATTTATTTATTTTTTTAAATATCGATTCACATTTTCCAATAATTGACATATTTGATTAATTAATGAAATTAATATTATCTTTAATTATTTTGTATAAGGTGTATTGGTGAAACAAGAAGCTGGAGATGACGGTTATGAGACGAGTCCAGATCTTGAAATGAGAAGTACTGGTGGTGACAGTAGCCAACAGTATCATACACCTCTAACACCACATACACCACACACGCCACATACACCTCATACACCACTTACACCTATATCAGCAACACCGCACCAACCCCAGCAACCTGGTTCGACCGCCGCTCTTGGTCAGGTAACTTGGTTTTCTATACATATATTATAATACCTACAATATATATATATATTAAATATATATTGACATTATTTCAATATTCAAAAAATTTGGCTAAGTAGAAATTCTGTGAAAATTCTCACTACCGAGAATTTTTAATTAAAAATTTTGATTTTATTTCAAAAACTAGCAATTTAGTCGAATTTTCATTTAACGGAATTCTTATTTAGCTGATTTTTCATTTAAATTAATTTTCATTTGAAAAAATTTCTATTTAACCGAATTTTTATTTAATTATTTATTATAATAAATAAATTTTGTTTATCAAAAATTTCCATCTGATTTAGAATTTCAATTTAACTTACTAAAAAATATTTTCTACAACTGAATTTTTTTTTACCTAAACTTAATTTTTTCAAAATTTATAATTGCGACTAATAATTATACACTCAGAAAAAAAATATGTTTGAACCAAATGTACCATTTTTTGTATATTTACCCATTTTTTTTTTTTTTTGGTTAGTTCAAATAAAATTTGTTTAATTCAAATAAATATTTATTTGATCTAATAATATAACTATTTGGTTTATTTTAATAAATTTTTTGAACAAAGAAAAAAATTTGATTGAGCTAAATAAACGTTTGATTTATGCAACCAAATATTTGGTTAACATCAATGCATTTATTTTGTTGATTTAACCAAAATTTGGTTGCTTCAAACGAATTTTTTTCTGAGTGTATCACAATAAAAAAAAATTCATTTGATAAAACAGATTATTATTCGAATGAAATATTTTTTTTTTAAATTTGCTAATTTTGGAATTTGTGTTAATTGCCATATTTTTGGTCAGATTTAAAAAAAAAAAAAATTTCAAATAAAATTGCATCGCACAATGTGTGAACAATTCGATAAAGAATGTGACTGTCATGGAAAAATGAAGAAAATTTGATATGTAATATGAAAATAACAATTTCTGTAGGATAAGGACAATTCTTCAAAAAAAAAAAAGAAAAGCAAAAGAACACTTTTCTTCTAATGCAGGGTCGGGTCGAGGGCGATGTCCTTTGAAAGAAAAATGATGTTAAAATAATCCGTTTTTTTTTAGTTCTTAAAATGAAAAGAAATTTCTCATATTATATTTTATATGAAATAATTTTTCCTTACAACAAAAATATATCTCTTGACATAAATATCAAGTAGATTGATGTTGAATATATACACATATACCTACGTATAAAAATTAATTATTAAGTAATATCTAGAATTTCTATATATATATATATATAATATCATCATATACTTGTCATTTTATTACTTCGTGCGATCAGTATAATTTTAATTTAAACTTTAAATTTATGTATTTTATTTTTATTAAATCTAACTTTATCTTTGAAAAAATCAGCTTGACATTTTTAAATGTTCTTCTTCAAATGGAAATTTAATATTAATTGTTTTCAAATTTTTTTGCTAGAAAATTCAATAATCATTGATAAATTAATTTAAATATAGCGAATCAAATTTTATTGTTTATAATTATATTCATTAAAATTAGTAATTTTTTTGTAATTTCTAAAAATAGCTAATCAAATCCTATTTGTAATTATTTTTTTTTTACTTTGAAATTAGTAATTTTAATTTATATATAAAATAAACGTAATCTCTCTCTACATATATCATGACCCGCCTATATTGATCTTTTTTTCTCCCCCATTCTTTCTTTCTCTCTCTCTCTCTATCCCTCTCCTCTCTTTCATTCTAATTTCATTAATTTAATTTTAAATGACGTTAAAAATTACATTGTTTTTTTGTTTGTTTGTTTGTTAATTGAATTCAATTTTCTTGACAGGTGGGAATAAAATGTGAGACACCAGTGGATCCTTATTCGTTTGTTGATGAGGAAATGTCAATGGGTGGCATAAGAACGGCAAGTAGTCCAGGAATAAATCCCGATCCTATGGCGTGTCCTGGAGGTACGCCGCCAGGTTTAGGAACTCGGACAGCAACGCCGCCATGTTCCTTATCGAATCAACATCAAATGAATTTATTAATGAACGGTGCTGTGAATTCGCAATTAGTTCATCAACCGAAAAAACGCGGTCGAAAGAAAAAATCTGAAATGATTTTAACGCCAGAAGAGTGAGTTAAATAAATTATATCCAAGCAATTTTTTATTTATTTTTTATATTTGTATATACATATATTTTCTTTTCTGTTGAATTATTTTTATTTTAATAATTATATATATTGGGAATTTATGAATTTTCAAGTTTTGATTTCACTCTAATTGGAAAGAAAAATTATTAATTTGATGTTTATTTTATTTTTTAATTAAATTGTTTATCAAAAATCGAAACAGTGTTTTAAAAAAGAGAAAAATTGATTTTTTTTAGTTAATTATAAAGAATTTTTCATTTTATTTTCTTTAACAATGAACTTAGAATATTATTTCTATTTTTTCTTTTTTTTTTTTGCGTTGATAGTGAAACCCCATTTCATATTTAAAAGCTTCATAAAATAGTTATTTGGAGCTACTCTTAACAAGTTCTCTCTTTCACGTGTTTTAGAGCGGAACTAGCAGAAGCTAAAAAGAAAGCCAAGACGTATAAGGAGAGGAAGAAGCACGATAGATTCGATGGAATGCCGGAAGAGGAAGTTAGCAAACGTGTGTTACCGGATCACCTTACCAATAATCTCGACATCATCATAGTGAGTGAATTCAGTATTAATCTAGAGCGTTACACTATATTATTAAAATCCGCTCTTTTTTTTAATGAGAATTCAAAGACAGGATTGAAAAAAAAATCACAAAAACAAACAAAATTTCTATTTATGAGAGAAAAAAAACAAACTAATTTTACAAGGTTGAACAGTTTGAATGCCTAGAATATTTGACAGTTTATGAGTACGTGTATGATTCGGTTATTGGCTGCAATGTGAATAATACATATATATATATATAGGTAGATTGAGGTAACACGATCGAAGTGTTGTTTTTCAATCGAGACAATTCCAGCCTCGTCATTTTATCCTCGTTTATCCCAGGTCTCGCCATTCAACGCCAACCGAGCGACTAACGCATTGGCGTTAACACGCTAATGCGATACGTACTTTATGGGCCAGGTTCGTTCGTTTCGTTCGTTCACACAACTAACGATGTAAAGCGATTCCACCCTGTGATATACATAGCAACCCCCTTTTGAAAATCCTCTCTCTCTCTCTCTCTCTCTCGCTCGCTCTCATCCTATGAATCCCAGAGACAAAATTGCGCGTATTTTATCCCACGACGAAAACTCATTCCCTCTATCGTTATCTCTACCAAAAATTTCGTTGAGGTCATTCCATGAGAATTTCATATATATACAACTCATTACTAATTCTGTAACAGATTTCCATTCTCATGACTAATATATATATATTGTTTACATGCGCTTCAAGAAATGAAAGACTTTTTTTTTTATCTTCCTGATAGAGTTATGTTCAATGCATCCTTGGACTTTGTCGTTATTAATTACCCAACCTCTAAAGCCAAGAACGAAGAAAATTCTATTGCGCAACAGGTACCTCTACGTCTACAGAATGTGTTACGTAATCAACGGAACGATGTACAGATTAGACTTTTGTCGACCTGCACAGTTAAAAAAGAGTATTTGAAAGGTGAATAGTGTGCTTGCGTTACGATTCATTCATTTTTATTTTTTTTTTTCTCTCTCTATAAATCAATATGTTAATTGTTTTTCTCTATTAATTTTCTTGATCTTCTCTTATTTCTCTCCTTTTCTGTGATATTTTTTTTTCTTTTTGATATTTAATTCATAATTTTGTTGTGAACAAATTTTTGAAAAAATTTTTTTTTGAAATTCATTGATCATACTTTCGTTGTGAAAAAAAAACAATTAATGGTAAGGTGTGTCAAAGAATGTTTGAATTGAATTCTTTAAATTTTCCGAACTTTGAATATCTTAATTTATATTTTCAATTTGTTTTAAAAAAAAATCTGTTTTTATCATTTTTCTCCATTAGAATATATTTTAACTGTATTCTAAAGCTAGAGGAGAATAAATTGATTTCTGGTTCTGTGATTAAACATTTTTATTAAAAAAAGTTTAGGCAGACGTAACGCATGATAGAAAAAATTTTTTTTTTTTATATATATATATCAACAGGCTGCTTCTTAGTTGCATCGACCGATGTGAACGACCCCTTTTCAATGAGATAGAGTCATCGTTGTCGCCGTTGACGGAAACGAGGTGGAAATAAGCCTCGACCGCTCGCTAATTTGTAGTCGATCGAAAGCAGCCGAGTTTGTTTTCTATCGCCTTCTTATTTTATCTCCACAATATTCACAAAAAGTTGTATTATTCAATTATTCATATTTCTAATAACCTCTTTAATTCAAAAAAAAAAAACAATTCTCAATATACAAAAATTATTTTCCAAATTGCAATATATTTGGAAAAAAAAGGAATAATTACAAAATTATCTTACATATGGGGAAAAATTTTGATTATTTTAAATTGCGACAATTTTTTTTTAATAAATTGTTAAAAAGAAAAATTTCAATTTTTTTAATAGTCGGCATAATAGGAACAGAAAAAAAAAACTTGGCCACAGTATTTTAACTTTAATCCGTGTGAAATAACTTCTCTGTGTGTTTGAATTAAAAGATTCGGAAATACTTCGCTCTGTTGTTATTACACTAAAAGAGTATTTTTAACATTTGAAAATCTTCCAGGCAAAGTTGTTCTTGAAAACTTGGAACTTGGATTCGCAATATCAAAAGTTTCCCTTTCTATATATAATTTTCTTCTTTTTGTAATTAAAAAAAAAAATGTAAGGCATTAAACGGAAATTAACAAATTTTTAATTAATTTTAATAAAATATTAAATAATCAATTATTAACGAGATTAAATTAATTTTTTAAATTGAAATTATAGTTTTTAAGGAAATGAAATAATTTCACAAATGAAATTAATGGAAACGTAAATTAATTGTTATTTTTTTCTTTTAGATTGGTATCAATCCGGGTCTCTTTGCCGCCTATAAAGGACATCATTACGCTGGACCAGGAAATCATTTCTGTAAGTTGAGATTGGAAAATTTGAAACTATCTCTCTTTAAAGGAATAGTTATTTTGCCTCACTTAAACAGGGAAAATTGGAGATGAAAATTGTATGGCGTTTCATATAACATTCGTGGTTGGATATTTTTTTTTTCTTTTTTTTTCGTGGGGACTTTGAAAAGAAACGATTAGAGATGGACTATTTTTAATGCAACCATATAGCATCGACAGTGATTTCGATCAGCCTTTAATAAACATTTTTACACTCCAGTGGCCAGGCCGGTGCCATTACGTACGCATATACGCGTGCGTGCATTTTATGTGCCTACGGTGAGTGAGGTTAGGTGCGGGCTGGATTTTCCAGGGTTTTCCCGGGGTTGCGGTAGTTCGAGGGGGCGGGGTGCCGGATGGATGTGTCGGGAGAATTGCAGGGGGAGGCAAAGTGAGAGAGAGAGAGAGAGAGAGAAAACGAAAGAGGTGGAAAGGAGAAAGAGGAGAACAGCATGACGCGAGGGAGAAACTATAATGAGTGGTGCGCGTGAGGGAGAACGGGATAAAAAGGGGTGAGGAGGGAGGTAAAAAGGTTGGAAGCTGTGGCAACGGAGAGGAGGAGAAGGGAAGTGGAATGGGATGCCAAGGGGGATTGAGCGGGAAACAGAGAGAGAGAGAGAGAGAGAGAGAGGAGCAGAGTGTGAGGCATTGACTATATGGGTAACAAAGCTAGGGGATCAGTGTAGGACTGAGGGCTGAGGGAACGAGGTTCAATGTGGGTTGAGTACGATGGGTCAATTTGAGAGGCGAAGTGCAAAGAGGGTCAAAAATTCTCAACTAAAACGAGACGAAATATTGGAATTTCTCAAAAAAAAAAAAATCAGTTCATTTACTCCCTTTAATATTTTTATTTTCTCCTCCAAAATGTTTTTATTTTTCCTAACTAGTTCAAAAATTATAATTCAACTCCCACATGGAGTAAAAATCATCCTCTTGCAAGAGAGTTTAACTGAGAGAATAAATTGAAACTGATTTTCGAATTTTTCTTTTAAAAACATAATCCTTTTTAAACTTTTTTCTAAAGAGTCAAATTTATTGAAAACAGTATATATATATATACTTTTTTTTATGAAGATAAGATTCTTAATAATAAAAGTTTATCAGAAATAGTTTCCTGATTGTAATCACGTTAATCAAGCAGCACTCATATTATCTTTGACCCACTAAAGAAAACCCCCTCCCTTGTATAAAGAATGTTACTCAAAGATTATTTTTTTTTTTTTTTTTTTTATTATAACTATCTTCAAAGCAATTCCACATATTTATAAATGTTTCACATTTTCATAAACTATATATATTTATCGCAATTATTATTATAGACAAAATTATGTCGATATCTCAATTATTTTTTCTTAAATAAATTATATTGTGAGGTATGGAAAAATTATATTTTTAATTAAAATAAAATATTTAATTATTTCTATAGATAATTAAAGAAAATATACTACTAAAATAATTAGAAGAGATTTTTAAATTATTTATAATATAATTTTGAAATTATTAATTTAATTTATAGTAGAAAAAAACATTGTTTTTTTTGTTCGTTGGATTTTGATGCTATTGTTCATGTTGTAATCTGTTAATGGAGGTAATTTTCAACTAAACATCGTCACAGTCACTGTGTGATAAAGACTAAGTACATAGTATGTAAAATCGAAACCAGTTTAAAATCGACAAGGGTCAATTTAAATGAAACTTGAGTTAAATTTTCAGCTTATTGATAAATATTAAAAAAAAAAATATTAAGAAATTATTTTGGAAAAATCATTTTTTTTTTTTTGTTGAAAGAAGAAAAATTTTCTAAAGATTTTATTATTTTAATATTATGGTATTATTTAAATATAATTACCTATTAAATATAAATAAAAATTTATACAAAGAATAATATTGTTTATTATAGAAATATGTGAAATATTTTATTGAGTATAAAAAAGACTGTTTTTTTAAAATTTATTGCATTCCTACTTTATTGATAAAAAAAAAAAATAATGTTCATTTTAAAAAAGGTATATTAGATTTAAAAAAATTATACTTTAATATTTTTATAGAATAATGTTATTGACAAAATATTTAAAAAAAAAAAATTATTGACAAATATTTTATTATTTCATTTAATTATTATAATATTATTATTCATTATTATATAATCTATTATTCATGGAAACAAAAAAAATGTATCACTTATTATGAATAGAATATTATTTGAACTTTCCCTTAAATAAAAACGTGAGAAAAAAAAATGATGAAAACTTTTTAATTTAAGTTTATATGTGAAAAAAAAAAAAAAATTTTTGTAGCCGAGTTAACATAGTTTTTAGAGCATGTTTCCAAAGTACTTGAAAGTTTAAGCAGTAACTCTCACTGTTAGCAAATGTTTATTTAACGCGTTCTTTCTTTGTCTTCTCTTCTTCGCCACCTTCCTATCTCTCGAATATATAACATTATATTCTCATTATATATATATATATGAAATCAATATTTTTGATGCTCCTAAAGTAAACAAGTTGTTTTAAGTTTACCGTCTCAATGAAACACGCGTTCTGTTTAATAACTTTTGAAATTCGATGAAAACATTACCGCGCGCGAAAGCGCAACTGCTAAACGCACATGTTCAGCTCTTTTAAAGAGGGCAATGAAAGACTCGAAAAGTAGGTGCGAAAGGAAAAGGAAACGATAAAGAAACTGATGTGAAAAAGGTATAAAAAAAAAGAAGGAGGAGGAAAGAAATAGAAATGTCAAGAAAAAGGTATGGAGGAAGAAAAAGGGAGAGAAAGAGAGAGAGAGAAAAAGGTGAAAGCAATGGGGGAGTTGGGAGAGAAGAGAAGCGATGGTAACTATAATGAGTGGCGGCTACAAGGGTGAGACGTCGGGAAGTGGGTGGTTGGGTGGTTGGTTGAGTGTGGGAAAACGTGTAGCTGGCTTCCCTTCACTCCACACACCGCCCTTTCTACCAGCAGAGCTACCCTCGTTCCATGGGGCGGAAGAGAGGTGGGTGGTTGGATGGCCGGAGGCAGTGGGTGTTGAGGTGGAGGAAGGGGGGGTAAAAAGGGAGCTAGGTAACATAGAAGGGGGGCTCTGAAGGGAAGGGCGTTAAAGGGGGGTTGTCGCACGCCTATTCGCTCGATAGCAGCTTACAGTCCGTGCACGTTCACTACCCCTGGCATTTCGTGCCGTATCTGGTGGTTCGACCCCGGTCATGGGGGTTCAACATAGCAATGTGTGTTCCACTCTTCTGCTTTAAATTTTACGGGACCAGGTCTTTGGGTCCTATAATACGTTCATATTGAGATGAAAATTGATTTTCCAAGCTATTCTAGTTTCTTTAACACCGACAGGTTGCATCGATTTTGACCTTACAATAAATTTTTATTTACATTTTATTTTAATCGTCAAAATTAATTTCATCATTAATTCTTATATATTCTCCTTGAAAACAAGTCCTTACGAGAATTAATATATAAAGACAACTTCATGGAGTTGGAATATTCTTTTTTTTTTCTTAAATTTACAACACTGATAAAAACAGCTTTGTTATGTAAAAAATGGTAATTAGAGTTATTCATCAATGATTGTCAGATACAAATAGATTTTTTTATTTCTTTTTAGTTTTACAGATTTTATCGGTATTTTCAAAAGTTATTCCTTGTGGTTAGGGAGAATAATTATTATACTCGAACATATATTATGTATCCGAGAAATATTATCAGCAACAGCTGATACATTCTCACACTCTATCGATATTATAATTGCATAACAATTTCAACCCTATGTTTTATTTTTCCTATCACTTGAGAAACCTTTCAAAATTAATCAATAAAATTTTTTTTTTTTTTCTTTCAAAAAAAGTCAAAAGAAAATAATTTCTAATTTATTAAAAAGAAAAAAAAATTGATGGAGTGATTCCCTTTTATGAATGTGATTATATATATATATATATATATATATGTTTGGCGAAAGTCAAAACTATTTCTATATGAAATGAAAGTGGTTGAATAAAGTCTCCCTCTCTCTCTCTCTCTTTCTCAAACTTGAACGCATTGGGAAAAGAAAGTTAGCTTAGGTTAGCGTCGTCTTCGTCGTCGTCGGAGGGTCGCGCGCGTTAGCTTCGATAAACTTTGTTCGATCGGCCGTTCGTCTTTCTTATTCCCCTCTCCTTTCCTTTTTCAAGGGGGTAAAACGCGGAAAGCGTACGCTCTCCATCGTTTAACTTTGTTCCAAAGTTCTCCCAAGGTCGTAGGTTCGCAGTAGGTCGCTCGCCCGAGCGAGTTTCAGTTGCGTCATAAATCTCGCTATCTCTTCTAAACGCTCGCGAGATCCTTGCGACAGTTTCAATTCAATAAGCGACCTCAAACTGCCAAATGGTTGCGTAAAAAAAAGACAGAGAGAGAATATAGAAAATGGGACAAAGTGAAAAAGAAAAAAAATTATGTTGTTAAAAAAAAAAGAAATAAAACAATTTTTTTTTTATTGAAATTTGATAATAATATTTTAATGTGAAAAGTTGATAATAGTTTGAAATTTGCACTTTTAGGGAAATGTCTACATTTAAGTGGTTTAACTTCTGAACCTCTAACGGCAGACGATGATTACAAACTTCTACGTCTTGGCATTGGCTTCACAAATATGGTAGCACGTGCTACAAAAGGCAGTGCAGACCTCACAAGAAAAGAAATAAAAGAAGGTTAGTAGTTACAAAAGCTACAAAACTTTTGATGAATGAACATTATTTTTATCAAGTACTTGGTTTTATTTTTCAGGGAGTCACATTTTACTAGAAAAGTTACGAAAGTACAAGCCTAAGATTGCCGTGTTTAATGGTAAACTTATTTATGAAGTTTTTTCCGGTAAAAAGGAATTTGGATTTGGAAGGCAACCTAGTCTTGTCGATGGAACAAATACCGTAAGAAATTTTAAGTTCAAAAACAAAAAAAATTATTTTGTAAATTTTTCAATTAATTATTTTCTCTTTTTCAGTATATGTGGGTAATGCCTTCAAGTAGCGCAAGATGTGCACAATTACCAAGGGCCGCTGATAAAGTTCCATATTATGCTGCATTGAAAAAATTTCGGGATTATTTGAATGGAACAATTCCACATCTCGATGAATCTGACATTGTTTTTGCCGATTCAAAATTAAAGAAAAAAGAAATAGAAGGAGTTGATGATAAAAAATCAATGTTCACCGATGATTCAACAGTTGATGGTGAAAATAGAATTGCAGACTTAAATAGTGGAATGATGAAACACGAGTCTGGTTTGATTCCCGGCAAGAAGAAACGTGGTAGACCAAAGAAAATAAAAAATCCCGAGGATCAACCTCAGCCTGATTGTGAAAAAAATGATCCCAGTGGTGAAGTGATAAAAAAGCGACGCGGTCGACCTAAGAAAATACATCAACAACAAAAACAACAGGAATTAGAAGTCAAAGAAAGAGAACATCATCATCATCACCATCATCATCATCATCAACAGCATCAAGTGATGTCACATCTTAACGATGGTTATGGAAATGCGATATCAAATTGTTTCTCACCGCCTCTAATGTCGCCGCCAAAGCCATTTGCTCACATGGCACCATATTCGCAATCAATGAACGAACCGAGTTATTTTGGCCAGGGCATGAATGACAGTCCATATGGCATGAATCCGAAGCACAGTCCCGTCCATTTACAACATTATAGCCAAAGTCCAAAATCCATGTCCCTTTCATTTACACATTCGGATCTCTCGTCGGAAATCAATACAGCAATATCATCCGAAAATAATCTCGAACCATCGCCATTGACATCGCCAAGTGTCGAGCATCCTGATTTTGAGCCACCAAGCAGTATTTCTCAACAAAATATGAGCAATGGACCAGGTTCATATAATCCAGCAGTGAATGGTGACAGCGGTCATCACAGTAGTCCAGGAACTCCATCGCATTCAAGCTACACGAGTTACATGAGCTATCATGATCAGACGCCCGAAGCACATAATCCACATCCCACACCAACGCCTTTGAGCCAAACTGGTGACGAGCACTCTCATCATTCTCATCCAACGCCACCTCACAATCATCCCCATACACCGACTCACTCTTCCATGTCGCCACATCATCATCCTCATGAGCAATATACAATGAAGAGAAACGGAAACCAGGATGTCGCCTCAAAGAGTCTCAGTGATTTAGAGTCTCTCGTTGATCAAATTCCAAGCATAACTGACGGCGGTGGTCAACGACTACAACATGGACATCAAGGCATACCTGACGAATCACTCGCCGATAAAATGGATTCCCAACATCAATCCTATCTCTCAAATTACGTTAATGGCAATATGTCGAATTACAGTCCACCTCTGCCACCAAGTGGCAATGTATATCCTAGTCCTTTACATCATTCGCCAAGTGATAATTATGGTTCACTTTATGGAATGAATAATCGTGAACCACATCATCAACAACAGCAACAACACAGTAAATCCTATACTGTGGAAAATCTTGCATCAAGTAATTATACACCAAGTGCAAATCATCCGGGTAATTCATATCCAAACATTATACCAAGCCCCCATTATCCAGTACCAATGGGATCGCCCAATAGTTACCTTTTCAGTGGATTAGATTCTAGTCTGATGCAACGTACTTATGGAATGGGTGGCATGAGCGGAATGGGCGGTATGCATCCCTCTCTTGGACACATGTCCAATCCTTATTCATACAATGGTTCGTATTCAAGTTCATTTGATGCTTATCCAACTCCTCCAGCGGGAATTCATGCACCTAGTGCAAATTATGCAAGTTACGCGGCTCCCGGTACACCCGGACCAGGTAGTTCCACGCCACCGTCTTACCTTCCATCACATCATAGACCACCTGTTGACCTTAGTTACGATGGTGTATGATAGACAGTGTAAAAGAAAAAAAAAAAAATTTAACCAAAATGCTATTCCATGGAAGTATAATCTTTTCTACGTATTTTTACACGTTGAACTATGTTTCGCGCGTCTATCGCTCTGGACGTGCGAAAAAAAAATGGTGGTGCGCGTAACTTGTGAATAGAAAAAAAAAAAAAAAAATGAGGAAAAGAAACAAAAAAAAAAACATTGAGCTAGAAAACGCCGCTATTTCTTTTTGTCTCATTTAAATATAAGTGTGTAATATTATATATAAATAGTATATATATATATATATAAATATATTTCGAATTTTCAGTAGTCTCGAATCAAGTTGCAATATATTCGAACGGAAATAAATATCTGTATTTCGTTGAATAGAAATCTATTTAGATAGATTTTCAGGTTTAAGGCTTCGCACTCAGACTTCAAGTCTACGAATGAATCATTTTTAGAAAAAATTAGGTAATATGTTATTTTTTCTATGTTTAAGGAAACATTCTTTTCTTTGAAGCATTTTGCTTATTTCACAATTTATTTAATGGTTATTCAAGAAGATACCTTTTATATGGTATTTTTAGGGGACGCTGGATTATCCCACAAATTATTAGTTTGAATTTCTATTTACAATTTTATAAATTCGAATTTTCATGCTAAAGAATGTTTTGTATTTAATGAAATTTCAAATTTTAGAAAAAATGGCAAATTTTTTTTAGTGGAAATTTTATTATAAATGAAAATTCAATAAACGAGAGAAACTGACATATAAAAATTCTGTTAAAGAAGAATTTGGTTTAATATAAATATTCTATTTAATAAAATTCGAATAAATAGAAATGAATGAATAAATTTCAAAATACAAGAAATTCAAACTAATAAACTTAAAAGTATTTGCATTTTTTTTTTAGTATTTTTTTCTTAAAACTGCTAACAAGAAACTCGATTATTTTGCAAATATTTCAATTTTTGAATTTTTTTGAATTTGAATTCTATTTGTAATTTTTATTTAAATACAAATAATCTCAACCAAAAAACAATTTTATACAGAAAAAAAGAAAATAATAACATGAATTAATTTTAATATATTATTTATTATCACGATTTTTTAAAATTAATTTTTAAAATATCGAGATTAAATATTATATCACTAAAATTATGCATGTTTAATTAAAAAAATATTCTGAGACTTGAAGTGTGAGGAATTTTAATTTTTGAATTAATGCCGCCTTCGGTTTAGGAATTTCTTCCAATTAATTTCTTTTTTTTTGTTTTTTTTTTATAATATATAAATCGAAATTGTGGAGGAAAAAAAAGTTTTGAATTAGCTGAATGATAGGCAACGAAATATCATTTATTTCATCGATATTTAAAATATAAACCAATAAAGACATAAAATTAAATATCTAAGGCAGTAATTAAGAACGTATGGGCTGTTTATTAATCGGCATATATTCATATATTTGTGTTTCGTGAATTTTTTTATGTTCCAAAAAAAAAAAAAGAAATGGACGCAAATTATTTCACTGATACAATTTTTTGAAAGAAACCGTGATATTAATTTTATATTTAAAATCCACTGCGATATTTAAAAGAAAAAATTTTTAATCTATGTTTTTAATAGTTAATGAAAGATTATTATTATTAACAATTGTTTTGTCTTGAAAAATTGATTTATTTGGTTACTAACCAAAAGCTTAACTTTGATGATTAGTTTATCTTATAAGAAATTTATTGTTTGTATAACTATACTAAATTTTAAATTTGAAAATAATATACATATAGTAGTTTTGTGCTCGTAATTTCGTAAAAAAAAAAAAAAAAAACGTGACACAAAGTTACTGCTTGTTCAATTGTTATTATTCAATTCTTTATTAATGTAGTGATAATTATTGTCAAACTTGGTAGAATATATAACAAATTATTTTTAAAAAAATAATCAATATCATTTTGTTAATTAATGATTGTAGACAATGATTTTTTTTGTATATGTTTAGCAAGTTAATCTTATATTATTTGGAGTTATCTTGAGCTAAAAATAAAAAAAAAAATTTTATTGAAAAAAGTAAAAGAACAATTATGCGTCTTCCCGAAAACGCCACTGCCAAAATCAACCCATGCGTTCACACATCGAGGTCTGATTGGTCTTTAATTGCATTGAATTTGCGACTTCGTTCAATAGAATACAGAAAAAAGAAAAATTGTTTTTAATAATTCAGCTAAACATTTTCTGCAATATATATATATATTTTTTTTTAAAGAGGCATTTATTTTTTTCTGATTGAAAATTTTTTATTTTTCTTTATTCTTTTTTTTGTAGAAGCAAATACTGAAGTTGTAACTTCAATTTTTATTAATGACTGATATTGCAATTGATTAATGATTTTTGGTGCATGTTAGATAGAGACATATATGCCAAATTCAGGTGATTGCGTAAATTGTAATTTTCAATGGAATAATCATTGTACCCTGTCATGTGCAACTTAGGGGTTTCTCAATGATGATAAATTGAAAAATCTTCTTTTTCATTTTGTGCAAATTTTCAAAGTCACATTGTAATTTTATAAATAACACGAGTTGTCGTTGCTTCACATATATTTTAATTTAACATTTATTATTATTATTATAAGCTTTTTGAGAATGAAGAAAATCAGAGAGTCTTTTTTTTTAAACGTAATTTAATTTCTAAATTTAAATTTTTGCAGAAAATGTTGAGCTTATTATTTTCAGATATTTAAAAAAAAAAAAAATAAACACTTATTCTATTTGTACTTTCTGTAATTTTCTTTTCGTTCTTCAATGCGGCGTTTAGGCGGCAATACAACCTCGCGATGTAATTTAAGTCTGTTGACATGTTAAATTTACCTAAACGTAATTGTTTTTTTTTTCTAACTAGTCGACAAACTGTAAATGCAGTTTTGAACTTACGGTGCTCTTTTTAAGCGCGATGTATCACGCTGTGAATGTTACTATGCATGATAAACGATCGGTTTTAAATATTCTTTCTCTATATACAAAAAAATAAGTGATCTGAAATAATCAGGCTTTCATAAAAACTTGTATATCTTATCTAGATAAAGATAGGAAATCTGTCAAAATGTTTAAGCGAAACAAAAATAAATAAATAAAGATATCTGAAATACAAAAGATGTCATATATTTAAAGATATTATAGAATTAGAAAAGCGGACTCTAAATACACCGTTCAACGAAAATACCTACAATTGTTTCAAATAACCCGTGTTGCAAAATAGAAAACTTTGTGCTGTAAAAAAAAAAAAACGAATCCAGTGTACATTGTAAAAATTATAGAACAATTTTACGTATACAACCATCAAAGTTGAACGAAAAAAAAAGAAAACACGTTTTTATCGTTGTTAATGTTAATTTTACCAGAATTATAATTTCGTTCAAACTAAGGGCAATTAAAAAAATAAATAAACTACCAGTAATAATGATAAAAAAAAAAATATATGAAAAATAGTAAGTAAAATCGTTGTAAATTTTTAACAATAATTTCTAATATTGTATATGAGAATCAGGATAAAATAATTTATCACGTTTTTCTTCATTACAATTTTAAATATTAAGTATTAAAAAAAAACAAAAAAAATTCTAATAATGTTACCGACAGATTTCGAGTGCCATGATAAAAAAAAAAAGAATAATATCGTGGCCGTGAATTCAGATTTGTAAAACAATTGTTTTATTAAATCTTAAACATAATATGTTTTAAAAATCATTCATTATTCACATCATGTACTTAGCTGATATTATTAAGTTACCTTTCGTCAAGTTAAAAGTTTATAAAATTTATTTAGTACACTAAGTAATATATTGACAATTTAATTTCCTATAGACACTGAAATGGAAAAAAAAAATAATAATATTATAGAATTTGATAACGAATATGTAACGAGCAGCATCAAAAAAAGAATATTCAATACTCACATTTGCATTTTGATTCTTCATTATTATACAATAACTCGTAGACATACCCGTGATATAGATAATCAGTATTATATACCAACCGATTGGAATAATCAGATTTCTTACTTAAAAAAAAAAAATAAATAAATAATTCCTGCATCGTGAAAAAGTGGTGGCAAAGTAGAGTCCGCAAATAAAAATACTTTTCCAAAGAAGTTGAGAAAAAAATTTTAATATTGGTAATGTGTGAAATTGTAATAATAATACTTATATTATATGAACCGATCGAAAATACCGCGGCGTGTACACTGAACGCTCGCTCACCATTACACGTGCAATAACGTCTCGAGTTAAATGAAAAAAAAAAAAAAATTTAATGTAATTATAAATTTAGAAAAAAAAAGTACGCAACTAGGCGATATGCCTACGTCCGAATGGGAAGGAGTATGTGAGTGTTTTCTTTTTTTTCCATTGAATGTGAATTTTTGGAGTGATAATTTTCAGCAAAAAAAAAAAAAAAAAAAAAAGAAATGTAAAATAAGCCATAACAAATTTTATTCACGCGTAGCAGTTTTGTAATTATACATAATATTAGGAAAACACGTTATTGTTGTCACTCTCATTGTCATCATATATCACAATTGTTACGGATAAAAATCATTATCGTCATCGCTTTTTATCCTCATCGTTACCGTCCTCGGACAATGGTCGTTATTATTATTATTATTATTATTTATCGTTACGGTTAGTTAAAACTGCTTATAAGTAACTTTATAGTTATATTTCTATTAAGTTTTACATTTAAAATGTCGCTATACTCGATGATTAATGCATGGCATGATCAACACTCCTTCTTCGCGATTAACGCTGTAATACGATGCAAACAGCATAATTATACATAAAAAAAAATATAAATACAATATAAATATAAATATATATAGATATTATATATATAATATATATATATTAAAAAAAAGTATAAATATTAAGAATAAGCAGATATTACACGAGTAACATTAAATTGAAATAATAATTATAAGATGTGTCGAAATATTAAGAAGTTGCACAGGGTATAGATGAAGTCGTTGATATATAGTAAACTGATGTCTATATAAAATATACATAGATGTTTCTTTCGTTCTATCGGCCTCGAGAAGTGAACTAATAAAATTGATAACTCCTAGATGTTTTTCAAACTCCATTCCGACACCAAAAAAAAAAAAAAAATATATAAAAAAAAAAACACATAATAAAGAAATATAAATGTCATCAATGTTGAGTATTCATCGATGTAGCTTTTAATGAATTGATGAGAGCGAGAGAGAGAGAAAGAGACCTTCCACGTCTAAATATTCAAAGTATTGCTCGATTGTTTTACTAATTAACAATCTAAATTTAATCAACTAAATGTGGAATTTAGAATTATGAAAGTTTATCCTTAATTACGGAAAATGCATAAATATTTAGAATTTTAACACAATTATCGTGGGATCGTTTTCTTAAATTACTCCGTAATTTTTTTAAAAATAAGAATCATTTTCAATTATTGTTTTTTAGTTTAATATTTTTTTATGACTTAAATTACTTTCAGGATCTAATTAAATTTATTCAAATTGGTATCGTGTTGAAAAAAATCGATTATAGACTATTTCTAAAAATTTTGATACTTTCGTATGATAATTTAAAAAAAAAATAAATTGCAAAAAAATTGGGAGGGACCAGTGATTTTTTTTTAAATTATCTTTTATTAATAATAATATTAATTGTTATCTTATTTTTTAATTTTAATTATTAATTTCATTAAAAAATGATTAAATAATCAAATTAAAGTACAAAAAAGTATTAGAATTTTTTAAAATAGTCAAACCCTAATCGATTTATTCGAAATATAAAAGAATTGATTTAATGATTAATTATTTAAATTAAAAAAAAAATTAATTTGAATGAAAACACATCCAAACGAGAATGGATTTCAAAATTTTATATTCACAGAAATTTGCAAAGTTTTCCACAACTATGCGGGGTATATAAGTATTTAATTAGTAGACATTCTGAAGCAATCAATAATTGTGGGATATTCTGATTGGAACCTGAAAAAGTTTTAATCGAGAATATTCAAAAAATTACAGTTTATACACACTTAAAATTTATCTGAATAATGAAAAAAAAGGAACTTATTTGAATATCTTACAACTATTTCTCATTAATATCGAATTTAATTTCAAATTAAAATATGAAAAATATTCATGGGATCCTTTTTTTTATTGATTAAAATATTCCATCAAATTTGTGCGGATTATCAAAAAATTCGTGAGAAAAGGATTTTCTTGAAGTTTTTTTTGTTTCTTTTAAATATACATTTTATAACAATAAAAAAAAATCAGGTGGGACCAACTTGGAACAATCTTGGGATCAACGTAGGATTATGGTTCCCAGATGTGACTCGATTTATTCTCTCGTTGATTCTCAATTACAATTAAAAACTAAATTTAAAAAAATTAAATTTTTATTTTTGGTCAAAATAGAATTTTTTAAATATGCAATTTTTCAACTTTACAAAGAAATTAAATATAAAAATTATTTTTTTCAATCTAAAAACACGTGTAAAAGTAAAATTTAAAGAATGAAAAATAATTATAAAAAAGTAAATAGGAAAACATTTTTTATTTTAATTTTGCACTAACTTGTATGGAAAGTCACTTGAACCAGCTTGGCCCCAACTTGTTAGCTGCTAAAGAAATAATTCTCAACACAATATTATTAAAAATGAAAATTTTAAATATTAACGCGACTTTTTTTTAAAATATTTTAACTTTCCTAACTTTAAAAAGATGCACTGTTTTGTGATAATTACTATGTTATATGTGATTGAACTCGTAACTTCAAAATACATAAGATTGATGATAGTCAAAGAGGTAAGAATTAACTTAAAAAAAAAAAAAAAAAATGAAAACAGAGCTTAAAATATTTTCACACCCTGAAAACAAAATTTTCACATCCTTAACAATTTTTCTTGGACGATGAAACATTTTTTCTGAAGACTATTATATATAAAAAAAAAATTTATTGAGCAAACGATTGCCCATCTTAGTAAATAAGGAAATTTTTCTTAGAGAAAATTATATTATCGTCTACAAAGCAAGAATTGATAGTTTCTTTTTTCAATTTAAATTTAACTATAAAATGTTTCCATTATTCAAATATAAGTAAACTTTACTTATTTCTAATATTAAAATTGAACTATGTGACAAAACTGAAAGATTCTTGCATTGTACACATAATTTTACAAATGTTGCAATTAAAAAAAAATAAATTTAGATAAATTGTATTATTCTTTTTTTTAAAAAAAATGCTAAAGCAAAAAAATGTAAGTAGTTTAATTGTAGTATATTGTGAAATATGAAGTCATAAATCTCATTTTATATATTCATTTAATTCATTTCAAATTGATGAATATATATTATATATATATATCGAAAACTTTTTATATGTCCAGCTTATGACTACTATATTGCTATAATTATCATTAATAATGAAAAAACATCCTGCTACAGTATAAATGCCTGAGAATTTATTTTACTATTTAAACTATATAAAACTGGTGTCCTTACCCCCGCCCCTTAGATATTCAATTTAGTCTTTCATCTTCTGCAAATAAATAATTGAGCGTTAAACGAAAATCACTTGCGCCCACCAAATCCCAACCCTTATAAGAATATCTAGCGTGTATTAAGTAGAAATTAATTTTTAATGCTGTACGAATAATGTGTATGTATATTTTTAAAACTGTATAAAGATAATCGACTGGTTTGCTCATGAATGTCACTTAAAAAAGTAAATTGTTTGTACGTGAATAAACAACGCGAATAGTCCCAAAAAAAATCATCTTATGGACTAAATATTAAGATAAAAAAAAATAAAGTCCATGTAACCCATCCCCCTAATAAAAAAAAAAAAAAAACGTGTGAATCATTTTAACGATAACAATCTCTTAACATCCATGCAGTGATGAAACTGTTCAACATTCTGTTAATAAAGGTTTATCATCGATAAAAATAATTTTTTCTCGTATATTTTTATACCTCCCTATTCAAATTTCATTGAAAATTAAAAAAAAAAAAAGGAAAATATTATTACAAGTAATATATTTCGTTTCTTTAAAAATTCTATTAATATTACATTATTCTAGACACATGTAAATGAAGAATAAGAAGAAAAAAAAGAAGGCTACATGTGTTAGTCTTGCAATTAATTATAATTTAAAGTTACAAACTTTTTTTTTTATCAACACTCAAATATTGATGACGCGTGATAATTTTTGAACTCTGTTAAGTAACAAATCGCCCTGTTTCACCATTGCCTGGTACTGCCAATTTTTACTGTCAGGTCTATTGGTTTCAACAATACCGCCAACTCGATCAACTTTACAATGTAGTCGACCTGCTGCGATGAAACGCGAAAGTTCCCTATAAAAATGCAAATTATGTTTTATTATTCTATGAAAAAAAAAAAAAACATAAATCTTCTCCAAAACAATTTTCAAAAATTAAATAATGACCAGTTAAACATTTCAAATAGAAAATTAAACATAAGCATAAAAAAATTCAGATAATTAAAATATTTTTTTAAAAATTACTTACTGATCAACGTATTCGATCTTAACTCCAAAAGCATCTGACATATATTGCAAAGTTAATGATCTGTACGATTCCAAAAGTTGCGTGTATGCAAGAATTCGCATTTCCCTAACGTAATAGCGATAGTGTGGAAATACTAAATAATCTCTGCGTAATAAACTTTCCACATGAGCTATTGAAAAAAATAAATAATTAATTTCTACAATAAAAAAAAAAAAAAAAGAATTCATCAACTTACCGAGATTTTTAAAGAAATCGGCATAATGACAATTGTAGAGGGAGAAAAGATATTCTTTAACATCTGGATTACTATGAAGAACTTCGAGAATTTCAGAACCTTTGATAATTTTATCTCGTAATTCGTTACGCGGTAAACTTATCATGCTCATATAAACGGTGTATCTTACGAATGTATTATAATCCATAAGTTCATAACTCGTAAAGGTACTAATTGTATCCAAAAAGAAATTTGCAGCTTGCTTAAAATCACGAACGGCAATGCAATAAGTTCCTTGATATACTTTTAATCTATTTCTTCTATCCCAATCTCCGCCTTCTTCTATTAAACTGTAAAATATATTTTTTTTTTGTTATCTTTTTTTACACATAAAATTCAATTAGTTTTAATTTAAATTACCTCTCAGCCTTTTCGATGTTTCTCGTAATATGATCATGATCCAAATAGAATAATCCAATTCTTATATTATGAAAAACAATGTCCAATCTATGACCTAAAGATACTGTTTTGTCGTAAGTTTTTCTAAAGGCAGATATTGCACCTTCCTTGTCACCAATTCGACACAAATGTTCAGATTTCTTTAGATTTGCTTCACGAACCTCCATTTCGCCTAAATTTTTTTCTGCATCTTCAATAACACCATCGAGCTCTTTTAATTGCTCCTCATTCCGAGTTTTCATTTTTGACAGTAATGCCACGTTAACAGGCCAATTTAAATCCCTACATACATCTTCATAAAAGGGTGCCATATCTAATAAACAGATTAATTAAATACTATTTTTTTTAAAATGAATAGTAACAATAAAGAAAAAAAAAGATAGAAAAAGTATTTTAATTGATAATAGATGACCTTTTTAAATTGTTAAAAAAGAAAAAAAAATTAAATGACATTCAAAATAATATCCTTGAAAGATTTACCCTTCTTTAGTCAACATAACCTTAAATGTTGTAACACTTTCATAACCTCTTTATTAACAATATTGTCCTTTTAGACAAAAATTTAATAAATTACTTTCAATTAAAATTCTCTAATTTTAAAATTCATGGGAATTAAATGTAAAACTTAAATATTATAAAGAATTAGATAAAAAATGCAATCTCACTGTCGGCTTTGATGGCATCAAGGAGTTTAGTTTTCAAAGTTGTGTCATTCTTATGTTCCGGTAAACTGAGTAAAAACTTAATTTGCGCTAATTCCAAATTTGGATTCTTTTCCAAACCCTCTTCCTCGAGATTTTCCAAAGGCATTTTGAAAAAAGAAAAAAAATTTTAACACTGTTAAATTGCTATTAAACAATAAACGTGATGAACGTCAGTTTTGTAGTTTCTTAAATTGACACATGGTGCGCTTTTTGCAAACTTAATACGCACGCGCATTAAATGTCAAATTCTAAAAATAACTTGCGGCTTGCGGTAAAATTTTATTATAACAAAAAAAGAACTTGACGAGGGTAAATTGCTGTGAGTATAATTATTATTGTAATTATTCTAAAACATAATCTAGAATTATTATAAAGTATATATATATATATATATATATATTATTTAAATACAGGGACAAGTTATAATAAATATTTGGATTGAACTTTACAGCTGATTACCGCATTACGTGTCATCATCCAAAAATAAAACATTGTTATTGAAGACAAATTTTTTTTTAATTGTATGAATTTAAATTTCGAATATGGATAAAATAAAAGATAATTCAAGTGGAGAACTGAAATTACCACCACTTCGAAGTTTGGATGAATTTATTTTAGATGGTGCACGTTTTCAAATACCAAACATTAAAGACCTTGACAAATGGGGCAATCGAGTTGTTAATAATCTTCTTTATTATCAAACAAATTATTTCTTTCTATCAATAATCATTTTCCTCATTGTTGGGTAAGTGTTTCATCAACAATCATTTTTTTTTTGTATTGGTATATTAATATGTAAACAAATGAAATGAATTTGCATTTTGTTTCTAAGAAAAATATTTTTATGATACAATTTATATTAATTACATTTAGATATAACTTAAATATTACTCATGCTATTTGTCATACTTGTCACTATATCAACAAATCTCAAATGTCTATAATGATATTGCTTCTAAAAAAAATTGTATGAAATTACAATACTTTTTTTCTTTTTGGTTATACTTGAAAACTATTGACACTTATCTATTGTTTTAATTAACTATAGGTTATCATTAAAAGTAAATTGTTACTTTATAGTTTGAAAAATTTACCTTCTATCAATAAATGATTCTTATTTTGTAAAGAAAAAAAAATACTTTCAAACTAAAGCAAATAAATGTCGATACATTTTAGAAATAAAATATAATGTGAATATATTTTTAATATTTTTAATTAATGGGATTTTTGTTCTTATTTTATGGCTAAATGAAATTAAATTTAGTACTTCAAAGGAGAAAATATTCTGAATAATTTTCTTTTATGCAGATTAATTCATCCTGGGAGAATGTTAGTCGGTATGATAGCAATGGGAGTAATAGTATCCATTTTTACGTATACGTCAGCAGAAGGAAGAGCTATACATAACTTTAAAAAACAATATCCAGTTGCTGGTATTGCTGTTATTCTCTTAGGAGGCTGTTTTATTACTTACACTTTAGGTTCTTTACTTGTCTTCTTAACTGGTATATTGATGCCTTTTTGCGGTAAGAATCAAGAGTGATTAGTATTTCTTAATTACTTAATTAATTTAAAAGTATTATAACTTTTTTTTCAAATTAGTAACACTTTGATCTAAATATAAAACACCTATTAATTTTAGAATGTTAAGAAAATCGTAAAAATAAATTTTCTTTACAGTGATCTTCACTCATGCCTCCTTAAGGTTACGAAATATTAAAAATAAGGTTGTCAATAAATTAGAGAGCATCGGTTTAAAACGAACCCCAATGGGACTTTTTTTGGAACAACTTGGTATGGAACCAGAACTATTTGATTAAATTTATCATAAAATATCTTGCAACATCATAATATTTAATCAGAATGAAGAGAATTTAAAAAATATTTTTCGTTTTTTTTTTAAATTAACTTCTCTCATTCAAAATATTTTTTTTTCTTATATAAATAGAATTGTCTGCTATAGAGAACAAAAAATTATTGCTTCTGCTTTTTATGTGATAGAAAAAACTTATCCCATTAGTTTAAATTGACAACAAATAATTTACTCATTAATTTATATTATAAAATTTTTGAAAATGTTTTAAAAAAACATTCTTTAATAGTAATAGTTAATAATTAATGTATTATAATATATATATATATTCTAAATACTAAAAAAAAAGTCAATAGAAATATATTTAAAGTAAATACTCAAAGGAGTAATTTTTGATCTATAAAATAGTTTAATTTCTTTGTCTTTAATTTAACTTTTTAATTTAAAGATTTTGTTAATTATCGTTAATTCGTATTTTGTAATACGAGACTATATGTAAATCAACACTTTTTTTACATATTCGTTTTGTTGTATGACAGTATTTTTTATAATCGAATCATCATTATTTATAATTCAATAATATACAGAAATATATTTGACGAAATATGTTATAATAATATAGTATATACAGATCAACATTAATATTTATTAAAATACAGATGAGCTATTTAGAAAAAAAAACTTCATAAATTATGTTCCATAAAATACGTTTTACGTGCGTTTATTAATAATGTACGATATTAAAATTTCCATATGGAATAAATTAACCTATTGAAGAATTATTATTTTTTATTTATTATATTAGTTTTGTACTTTTAATGTATATTTTTCCCCTTTTAATTATATGTAATTAAATTTTTTTTAAACATTCATTGCTGCTTTAAATACATTATTTTAAAACTACATTTAATTTAATAAAATCAAATTTAATTACATTAATTTATTTTAATAGTTTAAAATTTTTAAATGAATTTTTCTCATTAGTTATTAAATTCAACTTTTCAATATTAATTAATTTTTTTTTTTTAATTTCTTTTTGGTTCAACTTGTAGAGAATATCACTGGTATGGCAATTCGGGCACAAACATCTATCATGCAAAGTGCACCAAACTAACGCTTCAAGCAACATCATTTTTATAAAATGCAAATGGAATGTTTTATGTTAATCATGACGTATATAATTTTTCTACGCATAAAGCAAATAGTGAAAGATTTGATAAAATCGAAATCAAGGAATTTTTTCCTTTGTAAATTAATTGTTAATATCATGAGTACAGTCGACGTGACAAAAAAAAATTGTATATTTTTTTATAATAACTTTTAAAGAAACAGAAAAAAAATTGAACTGGACGCTTTAACAACAGTTTAGGAGTTTGAAAAATACAAAGAATTTTAAATGATATATTTTATAATATTTATTAACATAAAATTTTACAATTACAATGTCTGAGTACATTTTCAGGTGAAATAAATCCTTTCTATAAATTTTATAAACCTAATTTATTACTTTCCTATTACTAATAATTTAAGTTTTCTTTTTATTCATTCAATCGTTGTTGTTCAATCGCAATGCTTGACAAATTTTTACACAATATAAGACGCAGGAAATTGTTGCTTAAAGTTATAAAATTATATATTAATAATAATAATTATGCAATGAAGAGAATTTGACATTCACAAGCAGAGAGTCAAACATAAATTAGAACAATAAACTAAATATTAAAAATATAATATTATGCTTAATTTTTTATCATATAAATTAACATATTTTATTATTATATATATATATATATCACTATGTGGAAAAAAATTGTAACTAAAAAATATCAGCACTTCCTATTTAAAATAATTTTTTTTTTAAACTAATATACAAAAGTACTATTATTGTTTTCTTATGTTTTTTTTTAAATTACTATTAAGATAAAAAAGAAATTGTAAACAAAATTGTTTTTGACAAATAATTAAAATTAAAAAATTTACAATTTTATTATAATTTTCAGTACAAAACACAAGAGTAAAGAAATTTCGATTCTAAAAATTACAAAATAAACTTATTTCAAAAAAATAATAATGATTAATCTTCATCTTTTTAAAATCTCACTATACTTTACTTATAAATACTGTGTTTGAAGGAAATAAAATAGAATCCGCGAGACGTAAATCAAGAGACAGATCTTCAATTACAGTCCTTGGAAATGGTATTAAGAATGTGTATTCTCCAATTGAATAACCAATATCTTGCATTTTTTTCAAAAAATCCTACGTAAAATGAGAAAAATTTATATTTACAGCTAAAATAATATTATCATAAAACAAACTATTAATCTTTTTATTATACATTTTTTTCAAATTAGTTATTTGTGAAAAATTTTCTTTTTAAAGTAATAATAGCTAATTGTTTATTGACTTACTTCAATTTTTTCACTGGCATTCATTGAAATAGTCTCCTTTGAACCATTTGGAAGCCGCAAACATAGTCGCAAAGAAGGTGCATTTTTGTCTATAACTAAAATTAAATAATTTTTAAAATTATAAAAAATCCGTCAACTATTTTTTAAAATTCTGTTTAATCCTTATGACAAATTTATCATTTCTTTTTTTTTCAACTAACCTGATTCAGATTTACACGCAACGTCCTGTTCCTTACTCAATGTTTCATCCTGATTCGAAAAAACAAAATAATTTATTATTATTATTATAAATAACCAATGATTTAATTTTTAATCAATAATTTGAAAAGTGATTTAAACCTTTTCTTGCGTTCCAAGACAACTTGATTTAGCATCCAATTCGTCTATTCGTGAACGTTTGCTTAAAATAGTAGGACTGTGATCACCATCAATAATTCCTGAAATTTAATATATTTTTTTTTTTAAATAATAAATTAAAATTTGGATTTTTATTTTACATGCTTATTTTGAGACTAACCTAAACTTCGTCCCTCTAGTTTCCTCATTTTTTTTATACCAGACGAATTACTCTATAATCAAAATATTGATTAGGTTTTTATATTTAAAAAAAAAAATATAAATTCTATTGGTTTTTAATAAAGAATTTATCAATGCAAAAAATGTTGAATAATAAAAAATTTGCATTCAAATTAATTTGAAAATAATACTTACACTGATTGATGAATCAGATACCAAATTTCGTTTCATTGATGAATCTGAAGAATTTTTCCAATCATCAGAAACTGATGGTTCTTGTGGTGCACATTCAGGTGATGCATGAGTACTTAACATATCATTTAAACCCGATGTCAAACTATCTACAGTAATTTGATTATATATTCTCATACATTCTCCAGTTCTTGGATCAATCACTCCTAAATATGGATATCCCATGACATTATAAAAATCATTGTAACGCTTTCCTTCAGATGTATTCGATAAAACCTAAATATAAAGTTTTCTTATTATAACATGCTACATTCGTATTTCTCGATATGCTTTGAATTTTAAGAAAACAAAAAGTTATAGTATATTGCAAATAATAAAAAAAAAATAGCTAACCTGCCAGAGGACAAAATGATCTTTGATCATTTCACGAATTTGAGCGTTTGGCCATACATCACGATTTAATATTTGACATGCGAATTCTTGTGGATTTTGTACATTGACAAGTAACCAGCGATTCATCGATTTTGCATATTCTCTCGCTTCCAAGAATGTACCAAGAAATAATATCTCGCAAGGAGGACGAAATAAATCCTCCAAACGTCTTGTTTTACGTTGCATATTTTTTCTTGTACCACTTGCTTTACGTGTCATTTCCTCCTCTTGTCTTTCTAAATAAGTAAAAAAAATAAATATAATTATATTTAGCTTGAAAGAAAACAAACTCTGAAAATTACTTACGTGTTTCGACATTAAAATCTCTGAATCTGTCAAAAACACTATTCGAAGATCTTGGAAATGAACAACCAATTTCTGGTGGTACAAGAACCTCTTGCGTTGGTAAAATAGGTGGACGTACAGAAGGTTCAGGATCTGGTGGAGGAGGAAGAGGAGCGGCTGCTGGACCACCACCCTCAAATAATAATGTTATTGCAGTATCAACATTGCCCTCAGCTAATGCTAAATATTGTGATGCAATCGCTTCACTTTCACCTGATAATTAAAATAATTTTTCAATAAAAGTTATTTATCAGCAAAATATCATTTAAACAGATAAGACATTTATTTGTTTTCTGTTGACAATTTATAGAGGAAAATATAACCTCAAAATTTTTGTTACTCTTTTTATAATTAAGAATTTTGATTCATACCTGTAACTTCAATGAATTTTTCCACTAAGCTGCGATCCATTATTGATTTAATTTAAATTTCAATGCTATTTGAAAATTAAGGAAGACACATTAAAAGAGCAGAAAACTATATATATATATATTAGCAAAACTACTTGTCAGAATTTAACGAACGCAACGCCATTTCTATCAACTAAAAAAATTGAAGACTCGAACACATTGAAAATTGTTACGTATGTTACAGCGCTGCCAAAACAATATTTTTAAACATTAATTTTAAAAATAAATAAATAATCTTAAAATGTAAGATTATTTAAATAAAATTTTTTTAATATTATAAGAAATTCAAAGAAAAAAAGAAATTACGTATATTAAAAATACATTATAAAAAAGGGACAATTTTTATTTTTTAATATTGAGAACTACAAAATTTAAACAATAATCTTATATTTATTGAAACAGTACATAGACAGCGATAGAATCTACTTTTTTTTTTCTTCTTTGTGTACAATAAAAATCGTAATGGAAATAATTTTTTTAACCATATAACAATTATTGTTCTGAAAGATAAATTTTAAGAAATATTTGAATAATCCTGACTACACTGCTTGATGAATAGAAATTTAATGAGCTGCTGGTGATTCCTTAATTTGCTGTTCTATATATTCAGGTTGGAATTCAGGGGTATGTGGCCAAATTAATGGTTTATCTTTAGTACACACATTGATATCAGGAAAAGCTTCTATTAATTCTTCCATAGTCATATTTTCAGCTGGCAATCGTTTATTGATCACATCAATTTCTTGATTACATTGTGCTATAATCTGATCAGCTTTTCTTATAAACTCCTCAACTTGACTAGCCTACAACAAAAAAATTTATTAGCATAGTGTTGAGTTGACGTTAAAAAAAAATTTATATATATAACAATAAACAAAAATTATAAAACAATTATTTTTCGTACTATATCTTTTTCTTGGGCATCCAAAACTTTAGTATAGTTATCAGCGGGGAAAGGTATTTTCATTGATTCATAATGCTTTTGAAATGTATCGACCATGCCAGGAACAGCAATTAATTTCTTATAGTGTGCCCAATCAATTTTTGGAGCTGATTCAGGATATTCTTGAACTCTGTAAAAATAAAGAAAAAAATATATTAGTCAGGTTTGTAGATTAATTTTGTCTATTATATAAAATTTCAATTTTATTTAATAGAGAAATAAATATTACAAAAAAAAGAAGAAAGAAATCAATGTCAGTAAAGTCACAGTGACATTGTATGAACATTTTTTTTTTTTTTTTTTTCAAGGAAAAATTTTCATAAAATCAAATTGTCTTTCCAGCAGTGTTTAAAAAATTATAAACTTTTTTTATTAAAATTTTTTTAACGTGAAATTAAATTATTTATAATATTGAAAATTTATCAAATGAATAGTTTATTATGTAACAGAATATGGGGATACATACTTTCGTAAATACTGATCCGACTTTGTTTTAAAAGCAGCTAACACATTTTTTTCACTTTCTGGAATTCTCTCCGCAATAGCTGCCCAATTTATTGCTTTTAGAGCTCGTCGAGACATTTTTATTCACGATAAATAGAGACCGAAAAAAAATGGATACAATTTGTAAGGTTATAACAAAATGACCAGGAGGAGGAAACTCCAATATTCAGTGTTACCAAAATAAAAAATTATCACAATACGGGAATATTGAAATATTTACGAAATTAATTTGCGCATTTGATGTATTTAAAGTAATTTGTGAAATTATAATAAGTAAAGTCAACTTTTGAGATAATAGTTTGTTTACAAGTAATATTACAATTAAAAGAAAATGTGAGAAAAAGGTTTTTTTTTAATAAATTATATTTCGTAATTTACCGCCACAAATGTGGCGCCCTCACATGTGGTTCATAAAGGCAGTTTCACATTTTTTTCTACTTGACGTAATTATACGTATCTGTACGCAGAGGGCGCTACATAAGCGTCAAATTTAAAACATAAATAAAAAGTTAGTTTGGAAAATTTAAATATTTATAGGTCTTTTCCGTTACAAAGGTGTTACAAATGTGTAAAAAAATGTCAATTCACAGTTTATAGTTAATGGTAGGAGAAATATGTACTGATATAAAACTACATTGTGTACCGCGGTAAAAGCGCAGCATCCCTGCATACATACATGTGTGATAACATATATGTATATTCAAATAAACGGTGGGAGCGGCAAAAGGCAAAATTAGTTCTGCTGAGCAACACTGGCGCAAAGTGGCGTTGCATTTTGTTTCCACCGATTAACTTGAAGAAGCCTCACCCTCACCCCCATACATTGGCATTTCCCCGTTCCCAGTCTCCACGCGAGTATCATACCGTGAAGATGAAGAAAAATGTTAAAACTGTCATTGTCACGTTTCTGTCAAGTTCAATTAATATATGAATCAAAATCTTGACGAGTTTAAATGTTATTCATTATACAATTGTGACAACAGTGTGATTGACATATTATTAATCTTGCACTATGCATGTGTTTACTTTAATTTTGAGTATTTAAATATTTGTCCCTGGTTTATAAAAAATCGGGATGTGGAGTTCAAGACGTTTTTTTGAATTATAATGAAAAAAAATTGGGTGGAGGCGGTATTAAAGTGACTAAACAATCGTTATTTATCGTATATGATATTTCCAATTGTTTTGTGAACTCGTTTAAAGTTGAGTGTACTTCTAAACCATCGCATTATACATACAGGTGAAAACGAAAGTGTGCGTGTGTCGTATTCCGGATGGATATTTGAGGACTCGTCTACTTCATCCGTCCATACATCCATCCATTTCTTCATCCTTCCTGCCTTCCACCCATCTATCCACTCATTCATCCAACCAATCATTCATCCAAATACAGACACGCTCACGCCCACACACATTCCTCATCAATGTGTTTGTATTAAAATTCATAAATTCATCCGTTTATAAATATAACACGCGAATAAAATTCCACTAACTCTACAATAAATTCCAGAAAAAAAAAGTAAACACATTTCTTTACATTCATTCTTTTATATCAGTTACATTCTGAATCAATGTACTTGTAGTACTTTCATTTCTTTTTTGTATGTCGCTTATGTGTGTTTCCTTTTCATCTCATTGCACATGACAAGAGATCACTTTTAAATCAAATTATTTTCCAAAATAAAAAAAAAAAAAAAAAACAACATATACTATGGAGTCAAAGGGAAATTGGCCTAAAGAAAGTCTGGAGGTATCGATGCCGAAAAAATTTCAAAGCAACGAATCTGACAAAATCGAGAAAGCGAGGAAGTTCAGCTGGCCTATATGTATCCTCTGTATTGTCAGTTTAACTATTTCCGGCGTTCTTGTTTACCGCGAGTATCTTCTTGAGTCCAGGATAGCCTATCTTGAATCACAGTGTCAAATTCAACCAGATCTCATTTATCAACGGCTACGACGAGAATTTGAGCAGCAATTTAATGTTCATTCACCACGTCCCGAGGGAGATGAAATTTTTAGATTAAAAAGGGATGTCGAGTGTAATTGTCCACCAGGTTAGTAGAATTATAATTTATTTTTTACAATTTAATTTACAATTTAAAGAATTGTAAAATTGTTTTTCAATTTTATATTTAAGAAATTTTACACCTTTTTTTATTTATAAATTAATTGAGATAAAATATAGAATTTTTATTCTGAAGAGAAAAAAAAAAAATTCGCTCTGGAATTTCAGATTGGAAAACAGAGATTCAGCATGACTTTCATATTTTTAGAGTAAAAATATTGTCAACTTCTAAAGGGGAGAAAAAAATGTGATTCTTTTCAAAAAAAAAAAATTGGCTTACTTTTTATTAAAGGACAAAATAATAGAGATAAAACAAAAGAGTTAATGAATGAATCTTTTGTTTGTTTTATTTAACTGAAAGGAACGTTACACATTGTTATATTTTATTCAATAATAATAATAAAGAAATGTTAAATAATAAATTAACTATTAATAATTATTATTATTAAAAAATTAGAGATAAAGAAATTAAACTGTTTTGATAAATAAATAAAATATAATTGAATTACAATTTTACAATTCGAGTTTTCTTTGTGAAAAATAATAATTTTATAATTATAAAAATCATGTCATTAATTAATTAAAAAAAAAAAAAAATTTCATATAATAAATTATTTTCTCAGCATTATAGAATATGAAAATAAGGAAAACTAGAAACTATATACTCTTTTTTAATGGAAATAAGGACAATTGACAGTGTCATGTGTCTTCATTCCAGGGAAAAAATCTCTTTCAAACATTGTAGATGAAGGATATGTGCAATGTAAAAGATTGTAATCTTGAATGGACCATTCTCTTCCGCATAGTAGATGCGGCGTTGCCGTATTTCAGTATAATTCTCGATATTCCTTAAGGACAATAGAAGGGGGGTTTATAGAAATAATTTAAATTTCTTTTTCACATAAAAAAAACAGAGAAATTCTTCTTTATTAGGGAAAACAAAATTTTATTATTAAATATTAGCATTTAAAAAAAAGAAAAAAAAATATTTTGAATCTTTACTCTAGGGTGACAAGTAAAGATGAAAAGGCATTTTATAATATATAATATTAATTTAATATTATATCGTTTAAATTCTTCATATCTAGTTTTATTTAATACTCTCGTCAAATTGATTATGACATATACGAATCTTTTTCACCTTGGAATACATTCAAATAAGGTTTCAATGGAATTTATGTTTCAAATTATAACCCATATCTTTAAACAATGCGACGAGACGCCACGCCGGATTTTCACGTAAATTGTTCACGTCCGTATGACAAGGGGACAGGAATACAATCATCTCATTCAATCAAGTTAAAGCACGATATATCACTGTATTAATATGTAATATGAATCTCGTGGTGGTCAAAATGAAATTAATTCATTTTCAAAAACTGATTTTCTTCTTCTGCATTTTTGTTTTCTTATCTATTTTCAATTATATATATATATATATATATATATAATAGATAATTTTTTTTTTCCTATAAAATTTTTATTTAGAAAAAATATTTAATTATCTAAATAAATTTTTTATATATTTTTAGAGTTGAATTAGAAATAAAATTATTTATAATATGATTATTTTTTTCTTTTATATTTATCGTTTGAAATTTTAATTTCTGGTTTAATTTAGGTTTCCAACTGGAAGGTGTTGCAAGCTGTTGAAATTTGACTTCCTCTATTTGAATTAGCATGGATCGAATGTTCAATCCAATTCCATTAAAATTCGAAGTATTTGCACATCTCTATTTTTAACCCCTTGAGAGGACAAACATTTTTTTTTTTTTTTTTATTTTACAAAATCGTTTTCATTATAATCACAAATCGAAATAAATAGAAAAACATTTTAATTTCCGCTGGATAAAAAATTTATATTCTTTATATATAAAAGAGTGATCAAAATCAATTTGAATAAGGAGAATTTAAAATATTGGAAAAGTAATGTGAAATATTTCGAAGTTAATCTGTTATACGAAAGTAGTTAATAAAATACCTATTTATTGTGAAATTAAATTGAGAATAATTTTTGCAAAAAATTAATTTATGTGACGCATATTTTAGTGTGATGAAATTTTGTGATAATCGTAATGTACCATATTGTTGCTAGATTCTTTTTTCTTTGATAGAAAAGAAAGAGTTTTTTTTATTTTTAGTAACAATACACTCCACTCGACTCATCTCTCACTCTCTCTCTCTCTCTATTACGTAAGGTTCCATATTATTTAAACCCCAACCCGAGTTACAAAGTGCCGTCTCAGATAAATAGGGGCAACTCTAAGTGACTTTGAAGAAAGAGCAGAGACAGGGCCACCAAGAGGCAGGAAGGCAATTACCGTGAGTGGAGTATCTTCACCTGGTAACATCACCCTTCCGGCTTTTTCGCGTTCACTCTCAGACACCAAACCAACCCCTCTTTATGTACATATCTCAACATTCTTCTCATGCTTGTCACCCTTTCATGGTTAGAGCAGTCGCAACTTGACGCCTTTCGGATGAGTTCTAATATAAGTAGGCACTTGTCAGAATATGACATATATGAAGTGTATATATACACACACTGCGTCTTTCGAAAATGTCATCGTCTTGTCTACAATCAGTCTAGTTCTAAATATATAAGTATTTTTTCCTCTAAATTTGGAATTGAAAATTCTGAGCCATCTGGTATAAAAAATAATTCCCTTTTTCATTATTTTCAAATATTTTTATGAGAATATTTAATTTATTTCAATGAATCGAATTTTATGAGGCAGAATTTTTTTCAATTTCAATTTAATTGAATTTTACACATCGTCGAATTTTTAGTTTATAGAATTTTCATTTGAAGGAAATTATATTGAGAATTTTTATTCTATTTTAGAAAATCTTTTTTTATACTAAAAATGATTTTTAGAATAATTTTGCCTTTTATAACTTCAATAAGATAAATTCCTCTCAAGTTTTAGTCGTTTCTCAGTAATGGACCAGTTAAAATATATATATATATAGGAACTAAAATTATCAGTGATTGTCGCTGTAAATTTCTGTCGTACATTTTAATTGGAAAATGAGTATAAGAAAACGACTAAAATGAATAACAAACCGACAAAAATTAGTAGAAACGAGAGAATATAAAATTAGAAATATAGACGTTTAAAATAATTTAAACTCTCGTTTAGTCATTTTCGTTGATTTAAATTTAAAAATTTTTTTTAAATTTATAATGATTTCTCCAATTAAATTATGATTTGATTCAAATTCAATTTAAAAAAAACATTAATCAATTTAAAAATAAATATAGTTTTTTTTTAAATAAATCATTTTATTTGATTATAAAAATTAATTTTCATAAGAAAGTTTATGAAGAAAATTATATAATTATTCTTCATGGGGATTGAGAAATAAATCAATAAAATCAATATAGAAAATAATAATAAAAATTGATGATAATTTGTTAAGATAAGAAAAGTAAATTTTGTTCTTATTATGTAAGTGATAGGAATGATAGGAATTTGTATACAATAAATCACTCGATGTGTCAAATTAGATCGGAGACTATTTCTGCTCTATACAATCAACAATTTAGTTATATCTCATCTAAACGACGGGTCAAGAGTTTAATAAAGCGTAATTTCCGGCGCAATCGCCGGTTCAAGATTCCCACATGGGAATATCATCCAAGCAACAATGCATATTCTAAGAGCCATCCATTCCTCATATGAATATGTCAATTTGAAAATCAATACATGTTGGTAGAAAAAAAGTATATGGTGTCTCCTAGATATTGATATATTAAAAAAAAAAAGAAAAAGTTTTTTCTTACGTCTATAAAATATTTGGCACTTAATTTTAGACGAAATATATTATTTAAATTTAAATGAATTTGTGGTTGAAAAAAAGGAGACTGTAAAAAAAAAATTTATATCATTAATTTATATCTCAAGAAGCAGTAAATTGAAATGAAATTATGAATTATATGTTTCAGGTCCGCCTGGTGTTCCAGGACCTCCAGGAAAAAGAGGGAGGAAAGGAAAAAAAGGAGACCCCGGAGACTTAGGTACACAGGTAAGAAATACAACTTTCATTTATTCTGTCACGTATGTTTATTTAGAGGATAATAAATAATCAATTAATTATTAAAATTAATTAATAAAAATAATAAATAATTATTGTTTTTGAAGCGCACGTTTTTGTTTTCATCATAATTAGAAATTTAATTAGAAAATAAAATAAAAAATAAAAATTTTCCATGTCCCCCGAAATGTAAAGAAAAAATTTTCTTAATTTAGAAAAGGTGAAAAATAATGTATTATATATTTACTTATATATAGTAATAATAGTAGTAATAATAGTAGTAATAATAGAATTTAGAATTGTTTTACTAACACTTTTGTAGATATTTATTTTCACTTTATTCTTTTCAGTAATACAATAAAGAATTCATAAAAAAATATATACTGAAAGAAATTTATTTGATTCAAGTGATCGATTACTAGACTATTATTAAATATTTATTTAAAGTAATAATAATTTCGATTTCAATCGAATAAATATTATTTGAATTAATCATTTCTGTAATTGAATCAAAATTTAATTGATGCAATTATAATTATTTGGTTAAATTGAAATATTTATTTAATAATAGTCAAATTATTGATGATTTAAAATAAAAAAATTTCTTTTTCAGTTGCATGAAAATTTAGAATAATTATTGTAATCTTAATAAAAAGTAATAACGAGATGCATATTTATTTTATTAACAACAAAATCCTGTCATTTTGCATGTAAAATTAATAAAGATTAACTAATTTTAATTTGTAATAACCTTTATCTTACAGGGTGTAGCTGGGATTCCGGGGAAAAATGGTTTTCCGGTATATTTAGTTTTATTTGATTTCATTTTTATTTCCCGTTTATTTATGCATGATATAATTTTTATTTTATTTATTTATTTATTATAACGGTGGAGGCAGTTTATTTATTTTTAATATAATATTATTTTGTCTCTCTAATAATTAATGTCCATGTATATGAAACACGATTGAAAAGAGGTGTATAATTAATGCCTGCAAGCATGTTACGATTAATATTTCCGTGTGGATTAAAATTTTAATTTAAAATTAACTGAAATTCAACAAAATAAACTGTCCGTAAATAATACATACACCTATATAGATATATATATATATTATAATGAACAAGGGAAAATTAAATCCTTTCCACTTGCAGCGCGACATTATTACGATGTATATATATTATATACGATAATCTGGAAAATAATATTTTTTCTCAATTTCTTTTTAAGGGTCCGATTGGATTAGATGGACCAAAAGGCGAACCGGTAAGTTTTTTAATGAAAAATTTATTTATAAATTAATTTTTGTAACAAGTTATATTTATTTTTATTATTTTTTTAAATATAATTTTCGTTTTTTCAACTTTAAACAAACTTCGAATAGATTTTTTGTATTTATACAAAAAAAAAAAAATGTAAAAATAAAATTATTTTTATTTTAGAGATAAATAAAATGTTTTTAAGCAGGCATATTAAATTATCTTTAGGGTGGTTATAGATTAGGAAAAAAAAGCTGAAAATCAGGAAAAATAGAAACTTAGTCAGGAAAACGTTTTTTAAAAATTAAATTTTACGGCCACCCTGATCTCATAACTTCTCGGTCCGCAAAGTATTTTGTTCAATTTAAAATCAAAAAACAGGGCTTTTTATTTTTTTGCAACACAGTATATGGTATAATTTTACAAGAATAATTTTGATAAAATACATTTTTATTTATTTAGGGCAAGAGTGGAGATAAAGGTCAAAAAGGAGAGTTAGGAAGTCCTGGTTATGATGTATTCTCAGCAGTAAAGGTATCTATTAACTCCGATAACATTATTTTAACAAAAAGATAAATTTTTATTTATTTTTTTTTTTTAAATTCCAAAAACCTCAATTAAACCTTAGTAATCAGAAAATTAGTTCGACTAAACTTTTTTTTTTTACATTGCTATTTAATTTATTTTACGGTCGGAGTTCGTTTTTTTCAATTTTGTTGTTACAATATTAGAAGTTGTTATTATGAATTATAATAACGAGAGGTTTATTTAAAGGTGAAATAATTCTTTCGATTATTTCAAAGTTATTAAAATAATTTAATAATTAATTTCATTATTTTAGAATTTAATCAATTTTTTTATCTTTCTATTTATTTATAATAATAATTTATAATTTACATTTCTTTAATTTAAAGTTAATGAAAATTAAGCTATTTAATAAGTTAAAAAAAATTTTAAATAGAAAATAAATACAAAATTTAAATAAACGTAATTGTTTAAATTAGAATAATAGTTAAAAGAAAAAAATAAAATTATTTTTTAATGGCTTAATTTTTATTAACTGAGAGTAGCATTAGGTATATAATAGGTTGTTGTGTATTGTAAGTAGAAAGGAATTTACGTTTAAGAAATATACAATTTGAAATAAAATATGTATAGAATCTCCTTTATTTTATAAAACAAATAAAAAAATAAACAATTTTTCCATCTACGGGTCAATGCACAGGGACTCGGGCTAAAAAGATCGGTGACAACTCTTCGAGGCGGCACAATTGGCTATGCGGAGATAATAGCGTTGAAGGTAACGAAACCTTCAAAAACCACGGCTCGTTTATATGGTTTTTTTTTGACAATAACTGTTGCATTATGCGGTGCTTTCGGTGTAGCGTTCTCTTGTTGATACATGTATATTGTACTGCAATATGATTACATATCAAAAATATCGAAATTTTTCTTCACACACAAAAAAGAAAAACCATTTGACATGATTATTTAAAAAATATTCAGAGGAAATTACACATTCAATTTTTTTTAAAGTTTCTTTTAAAACTAGTTTTTGAAATTTTCAAACTTGTCTGCAATTTTTCATTATTGAAGTTGAATAAAAAACATTTCAAATATATTCTTTAAAAATTAATTATAATTTTTTTTTCCATAAAGTATTTTTATTGAATCGAATTTCCACCCTAAAAAAATGTTTGATATAAATTATTGTTTATTACAGAGAAATTTGACCTTGTGAATAATTTCGAAATATAGTAAAAATTTGAATTTATGATTTTCGAAAAAAAAAAAAAACTAGAAAAATTGGACTCATGATTTTTAGGAAACATTTATTGAGAAATAAATAATCATTTCAAATAGTTTTAAATATTTATTAAAATTGCGTAAAATTAATAATGGTGAAAAAAAATTTTGTAATTTTTGTTCCTACCGTTTTGATTCGACAAATGATAAATGTCTTTTACAACTTTAATTTTTTCTGAGAGATTTTTCAGATAAAAGTATTAGTCAAAGTAGTTTTTTTTTTTTTTTTTTTTATTAAAACAGTTACTCATTTTTAATCATATAGCAGTACATTTTTTTTTTTTTTTGGTTTTGATTGGTAATGGTATTCATATACATATTATATATTTAAGTTACAGTCTTTAGGTATCTCTCTGGGCATGTCGGAGTTGAATAAGAAATGAGATAAATATTATATATATATATATTAAATCCTCAAAAATAATCCTCACTGGGTTTCCTTGCGAGTGCTTCCCGTATATCTTTTATCTGGTAGCGATTTGGTTTTTACCTGTAGTTGACCTACTTCTAGGGACTTCAGGAGCAGGGACATAATATCAGCGCGCAGACCATCATACAGTTAAAAGTAAGTCCGCTTGTATTTCAGGACTCACAAAAAAAAAAGTTTACATGCAAAAATACCCCTTCTCAAATTTATATATAAATATTTAATTCGTTATAAAAAAAAGAAAATTTATTTTTTATATTGAATTTTTAATTATAGTGAAATCTATTGATTTGTTTTCCGTTTGAACAAGTGCATTTATTGAGAGAAATCGTCTCAAAAGGCAAACATTGGGCTCGTTCAAATATAGGAAATCTGAACGAAAGAATTGACTATTTTTAGAATATGAATCGATATTTCAAACAATTGATATATATATATATTTGCTATTTACAATTTTTGAAAAAAGAAATTATATTAATTATTTTTGATCCTGCTTCTCCTTTCTTTCTATGTAAACTATCGTGTTTAGCACACTGTGAATGCTACCTCTACCTACTTTTTTCGTGTGTACAAGAAAATGTTATATTCATAAAAATTTAAGGTAAAAATGCAATTACACCAATCAGATTTTTTTTTTCAATAATGTATTATCATTATTCATTTTGCTTGTCTATGCACGAGAATTTTTTAATTCTATTATAAATAATATATGCATGTCTCTTTTAATTGCATGTAGGATTTGAAATTTATTTATTTTTTTAAAGGACACTGCGCGCAGAGTACTCAAAATTTTGAGAATTTAAATATTATCTTTTTAACATTTCATTAATTTTCATTCAAGATAAGACACTAATGTATATTTTTTTTTAATGTAATTGATTAAAAGACATTTTTCGTGAAAATAATAATTATTATTATACCATTATCGATAAAAACGGTCTTTTAATTAATGTGGAGAACGATTTATCAGTAAAAAAAAAAAGTCTTTTAATCGGTTGATAGTGATTAATTGATAAGAAACTGTCTAATTACATTTATTTATAATATATGATAAAAAAAAGGGGGGGTTAATTCGTTTTCTAAATTATTTTTTGTTAAAAATTTGGTTTTTGTAAAAATTAAAATGATTTTTTTTTAAATTTAAAATTAAGTTTTGTATTTATTTATTTTAATAATTGAGTGACAAATTTTAATTGTGTTGGTTGAACAGATAATTTTCTATTTTAACTTAATTGATTAAATGTCGGGGATGTGTTTCTTTGATTTTAAAGAATAAAATAATTGAATTGTTGCATATAACTAATTGAATTTTCATTTGTACTGGCATATAGGGAGAACCAGGTGAACCTGGACCACCTGGACCCGCGGGTCCTTCAGGAACTGAAGGCTTGCCCGGACACGACGGTAGACAGGGTTTACCAGGAGAAGTTGGACCACCGGGCGAGAAAGGCGCAGCAGGGCCAATAGGTCCCATTGGGCCTCCTGGTGCGGCAGGATCTGTAGGTCAAAAGGTAAAATATTTTATACACAATAAACATTTACCTAGAATAGTTAAAAATTCATTTGAATTTGCTCTAAATATTTCAATGCAATTTTTTTTGTTATCCTTTTTTCTTAAAATTTCTTTTTCTTCAAAAATATATTTAAAAAAAATATATTAAAAAAAATCTTTTTTAAAAACAATTATTTTTAGTTAATTATACTTACGTAGAGTATTTTTTTTTCTTCTTCTAAATGTAAAAATTGATTTTACTGTCACTGATGTGTTTCCGCAAACATTGCAGTTGTTCTTTTCATTTCATTGTGAAATATATTCAATAGTAGGTCGTTTCCTGAAGCGGTGTATAAATATATTTGAAAATTAAAAATTTTAAACAGGGCGATAAAGGAGACAAAGGAGATCGAGGTTTAACGACGTCGCTCGATGGTGAACCATTTCCGACGGGTGTCTTTGAAGGGCCACCAGGACCCCCTGGACCTGCAGGTAAGCACGTTGCACTTAAATCATTATTCCTGAAAAAGTCAATACTTTATCACCACAAACACAAAAAAAAGGCGAATAATTATATATCATTGTCAAAAAAAAAAAAATTCGTGGGAATTTATTTTTAATTAAGATGTTTGTCATAAATTTCACTCTTATTTGACTATATGATAAAATTTAGTCGTAAAAAAAGGAATCTAAAATTTATTTTATTTAATATAGACGAGAATTAAGAGTTAATAATTTTTGTTTTTGAAATTTTTTTACAATCAACCACCAATTAGAAAAATTTTCTACACCATTTTTTTAATAATAAAAAATAATTTTAATAATAAACAAATTTTTTATAAATATTTTTTTTGTTTATATACTATATGGTGGCGGGGGATTAATGAATAAAAAAAAAAAAAGAAACCTCTGCATTTGATTTCAATGAAAGAGTTTACTTCAGTGTCCTATAAAGTGCAGTTATTGTGAATGCTTAACTATCCTTTATATTCGGTATGAAGTGTCTCATCCATACAAAACTCGACAAGTTTCATTTATCCTATTCACTGTCGCGAGTTGCGTGTTATTTGTTAGGAGACACATAATAAATCTCCTAGGAAACTATATGACTACTTGGAAAATGTCCTTATACTGCGCATTCACACGTTGACGGTATTAAATAATACAAAAAAAATGTGCATTTTTTTTTATGCTGAAATTGTAACAAAAAAAAAAAAAAAAAAAAGAAAGGATATTTGTACTCAGTACCGTATGAGTGCAAGTGGTGATATTTTTTCATATACGTGGTACACAGGGCTCCAGGGCGAGAAAGGAGAAACGGGTCCAACGGGACCCGCTGGTCCTAATGGCGAGAGGGGTACTAGGGGAAAGCAAGGGAAAAGGGTAAGCTTTAATATAGTTAAAAAAAAAAAATTGACTTTTTTTTTGTCGATTTCGCCAATGAAATCTAATATTACTTCTATAATATATATGCCAAAGCTTGCATATTCTATTCAGTGTACGAAAATCCAATTCTCAACGCGAGAATATCTCTACTTTAATTCACTTTAATGCGAGAGAACGACAATATTCTCCAGACATGCCAAATTAACTTTTGTTTGTTTCTATTTTCATGTGCATGTTTTGCATGCAGTAAATAACAACAAAAAGCAAACTTCTTCTCTTTCTCCCCTATTTCTCTCTTTCCCTCTCTAGGAAAAAAAAGGAATGCTTGTAGTGATTGCAGTAGCATATATTCTATTCTATTTGGTGCTTGGAGATGGATCGATTATTATTTATTTAAAAAAAAAAAAAAAAAAAATTATTCTTGTCAGTTGTCAAAATGTGGCATGACATTATTTCTTGTGCAACAAAACAATTTTACCAATTCATTCATATTTATACTTCACTATACACAAAACGTTAATTAATTTTTTTTTTTTTTTTTTTTTTTTGTCAAATATTCGTAAATTGGTGGCAAAGTTAACTTTAAATATTATTTTAATCCAACGAGTCAGTTTTGTCTTTTTTATATTTATTTGAAAATTATATATAATGATGGCAGTAGGAGAATTTTCAACAAATCAATTTATGTCCTTTGATAAGTGACTAAAAATCATGGAATTCAGGATGTGTGTTTTTTTTTTTTTTTTGCCAGAAAAGGCAATAATTATATTTTTAAAGAGGAATAAGGTGCGATATTGTTATTTTTTAAAACAAACGCTATTACATTAATGTAAAATAAATAAATATTTTACATTTAGAATTCACGTGTATAATCGTAAGTATATTTGAAAATATATTTACAACGAGTAATTTATTACTCAATTGTTCATAAATAATTTTTCACAATTGTAAATTTATTATATTCAATTATAATATCTAAAATTTATTATCCATATAATTAAATACGAAATTATAATTATTTATTATTTAAATAATTACACAGAACTCAATTTTGAGAAACGACAGTTAATATAATAATTTAAGAATTTTTAATAATTTTCTTTTTTTAGTTAAGGTGTTTATGTATATAAAATATGCGTGTTATTAATATTTTTACGCATGATTAGATAAATGTAAGCACAAAAATTTATAATTTTTTTCTATATATGTGTGAAGTTATTTTTATTATTTTTTATTTTCTGGTGTAGGTGCGTAACTTTTTTATTCTCTATTTTTCGAAAAAAAAATTTTTTTTTTTTTTCCTATTTTGATAATAATGAAAAGAACTGAGTAAATCTGTGATAATTTTGCGCGAAAGAAACATTTACTGAATTGGCAATTTCTTTCGTTCTTTGTTCATTTATTATTTTAAAAATCAGGCAACGCTTGCGGTGAATGTGACGAATATTAATAAAAGCACACGAGAGTTTTCACATTTATATTGAGAGATGAAAATAATCATGGAATGTATAATAATTAAATCAAAAATTTATATTTTTGTATGATGAATTTTAAAAAAAAAAAAAAGTAAATTTAATTAAAGTTAAAAATTATATTAAAATAATAATAAAAATTTGTTAGTTGAGTTTTCATGTTAATAATTTCAAAAATAAAATTATTATTAATAATTTAGATTATTGTAATTTTTTAAAATTATTTATTGAACAATTTGGAACGTAAAAAAAGAGATTTAGAAAATTTTACAGATTTACTTAGTTTTATATATAGTTTTTATGTGTATTGCACCGTTACAATCACTTTTGTATAGGTAGCTTGTAACTAATCTGTATTTATGTAGCAAGTAACACCCAATATCTCTTCTGTGTGTCAATTTGAACCACTAATCACTAATATCTACCACTTGAGGGCTAGAGGCTCCAATGTTCATCATGACAATGTCAATTCTTCAGTAATCGTAAGTATAATGAACATCTGATTATTCTTTCTTAAAGGATAATATTTAATCACATTGTATGAGAAATCCTGCAATTTATATATATATGTATATATAAATATATTTTATGTGAAAACAAATTGCTTTTACAAAAATTATATTTCACAAGCGCTAATCATTTTAATAATATTTGATTCATTTTTTTTTCCTTCAATTATTTTTTAAAGGACATTTTTCATAGATTGTCAATAAAGAACGACAAATAAAAATAATAATAAAAAAAAAAAAACTCGCAACATATGAAAATAAATGTTATATAATAAATAAAACAAAATAAAATAAATGAATATAAATGTTATAGTGGAAGTAATCAAAACATGTATACAATGGAAATAAAAATATATTGTTATTTGAGCGAATATCCTCAAAATGGGAAATATAATAATTAAATAATAGAATGTAAACAAAAGGATTTTTGAAATAATTCTTGAGATTCTTGTATTTGATTAAGGACAAATGGTATTTTTATTTTAGGACCAAAGGGTGAAAATGGACTTCAAGGAATGCCGGGAGTGGATGGGGTTAGTGGAGAACCTGGAATACAAGGACCTCCAGGATCGACCGTGAGTTAATTATTTTTCATTAAAATCAAATTAAATTTCATTTTTATTATATCGATATATTATCAACTAATTTTGAAATTATTTAATACACTTGAAAGTATTTTATTTATCAAATAGTTTAGAAAATTTTTGCAAAATCAATGCAAACATTTCGAAATAATTTTGAATATTTAACAACTGATTTGAATCTTGTATTTTATTTAAGCCTTTAATTCCTTTTAGAAAAGATTTTTAGATCTCGTCACTGTCATTATGATAATTATCTTCGTCGACATGGAATGAAAATATTATGTTACCATAATGTAAGATTATTTTTTTTCGATCAGGGAGTTCCTGGACCTAAAGGAGAAAAGGGAGATTATGGAGATATTGGTCCGCCAGGACTTATGGGTCCACCTGGTTTACCTGGTCCTCCAGTACGTTCTTTTTTTTAATATTGATATTTAATATTTTAGAAGATTTTTGCTGAATAACTATACTTTTTTTTTCTTTATTGTAACTAGGGTTATCCAGGTCAAAAAGGCGAAAAAGGAGAGAAAGGAGAATCGGTGAGTTAAAAAGGAAATTTTTTCATATAAAAATTAAATCGCAATTATTTGTTTTATAATTAAAATTTGTGTTTTTTTTTCATGATATCGTGATTATTGGATTCGAGTAGAAGTACAAAAAGTTGAGGCGGAGACAGGTATTTGTTATTTTTATATATATTTTTTTATAATTTGTAGAGAAAACAAAAAATTTTAGTAAATTTTATTCAATAAAATAAAATCAGAAATTTTTATAGTTTAACATAAAATTTTTCTTAAAACATTATTTTTGTATACTTTACAAGAATTTTTTTTAAGAATATGTATCAAGTCCCTTGAGAATTTAAAAAAAAAGAAAAGTATAATATAAAACAGTAAAAACGAAGTTGCGTTCAGGTTTACATAATAAAAGTTTATTATTTATAAAATTTTACAAAAAATGTCCACTAGTTTTTATTTCTTTTTTTGTAAATATGAATAAGAAATATTTAACAAATTTTTCTTTTTACAGGGAGATGGCACATTTGAAGTTAACGCCGGTGAAGTTGTAAGTTTCATTATTTATTTCTAATATCTTAAGAAAAAAATTTAAATTTTTTTGCAAAGATTCAAAACGAATTTTATTTTTTTCAATTCAGTTTAAAAATAATTAATAATTAACATATTAAATTACACAAATTATTATGATATTTCGAAATAATGAATAATTTTTATTATAATGATCATTTTGAATAAATAAAATCGAACATCAAAATAGTGTCTTTTGTTGTGATCAATTGCAAGGAATAATGCAATTCTATTGAGAAAAGAAAAATCAAAGATGTTATCTAACATAAAGAAAAGTATAAAATATTATAGTCAGCGACAAAATTGTGTCCCTATTGTAGTTATTGGTTTAGTATGGAATTCCATACCCTTTAAAAGGCAGCATCTGTGATGTTTCATTCCCTTCCACACATTGTATTCCAATGCGACCCTGATTTCTCCAAGATGTTAGAGATCAACTAAATAATCCATACAATATAAGTAAATCTGCAGCTTCAGATAATTCTTGTTATTCTGTATATATTATTTTTTTTTTAGATAATGGGACCACCAGGACCACCTGGACCTGCTGGTTCGGCTGGACTCCAAGGACCGCCTGGAATCAAAGGAGATAGAGGACACGATGGAGCCAAAGGGGATCCTGTCAGTAATTATAAAGTTTTTGATAACAAATTTTTATTTTTTTTACAATTAACATTTTTAACGAGAAAAAAAATGACAAATTCGTAAAATTAAAGATAAAAAGAAATAAAAATTATGCAAGTTAAAGAAATTTTGAATAAAGATTTTTGATAAAGAGAAAAGAAATTTTTTTTACAATTTTCTTTGCAACAATACGTTTTTATGTATTTATAAAATTTATTTAAATATTATTATATTTAAATTATGAAAATATAAATATTTGATAATTATAAAAAATTATTTTTAAATATTATCTTTTTTTATTTTTTAGGGAGAAAAGGGAGTTAAAGGAGATCCAGGTCCAATGGGACTTCCTGTACGTATAAAATTTGTAATTTTTTTTACCTATTTTTTAAGTGGCAGAATTTTCACATTTAATAAAAAGAAAAAAAAACAATTTTCAACTACAAAGAATTTAATAATTAAAATACCAAATGAATTGTTTCTATTTTTAAATAAATCTTTTTGAAAAAAATGTTGCTTTAGTCCTTTTTTTACGGTAATTAATTTCCATTTTTGTAAATTTTGATTTCAGGGACCAATGGGATTAAGAGGTGAATCGGGAAAGCCTGGAGATGGTGGAAAATCTGGTTCCATGGTAAGATCACGGATCACAATCTCCTAACATCACCATTAATTGCCTTCTTCGTGAGTTTATGTATACTTGAATACATTGCTGAATATTGCAACAAATATCAGTTGAATATAAGATTTAATATTGCACAAAACGTAATTATTACGATTTTCGCAATTTTTCTTCACTACTTAATTTTCACAGCTCCTGATCTTCGATTTTAATATTTCAATTACAATTCTTTTAAATAATTCCAATGAAGAATTTTGCAAAATTAAAAATCAATAGGGGTGGTTTTTTTCGATAATGAAAATTTTTTTCCCATATCATTTATATAGGACAAAATATATGCTAAATATTTTTAGAAATTTTTTTACATTTGAAATATTTCTAACAATAAATTAGGATAACATAAAGGAATATTAGATTTAACGACTCACTAATTGCATGAAATCGCACTAAAAAAAAAAAAAAAAAAAAAAAAAAAAAAAATTCAAAGGTATGATTCTTCTCGAACGTGTGGATTAAAAGTAATTTGAAATTTAAAATTCTTTGATCCGTCTTCAAGTGAAAAAAACAATACTTGCGAATTTAAGGTGATAATATTGTGAAGAAGTATAAGAAGGCGGCTCAAAATATTGATTAATGTTAAAAGTTGCTATTTTCTACAACAATTTTGTTGTAGAAATTCTAAATCTTTATTTTTTTTTTTTTGAAAGTGAAGATAAAACAAGCTAATTTTCTTTTTTAATTAAAGAGAATAAATTTTTATTCTCAGGGGGAAATAAAAGTCTAATTAAAAATCATAATTTTAAAAGTTCAAAAAAATTTTTTAATGTACGAAATTAAAAAAATTTCTTTTCCAAAAGGAAAGTATTTTTTTTTTTTTTTTTTTTTATTAATTTAAAATAATTTTAATTTAATATGCGCATGTATTTCTTTTTTTTCGATATATACATTTGACATTTCTGCTTCTACTTCTTCATGATGACAAGTAGTAAGTCTTTTTGTAAAAAAAAAAAAATTCCTTATTAACAATCGGCTTCAAAAAAAACAGGTTGGCACGTGGTGATACGACTAACAACTAACAAGGGATAGGTACTAAATTGTTAACAACAATAACCTATCTAGCCCACATCAGCTGAGATTTCCGGAATTTACGTTAAAGCTACAGCATGCGTCAAAACGTATATCTCTACAGCATCTTAGAAGCATAAAATTCGTCAGATTTTTTAATCACGAATTTTTGAATTCTGTGACACAAGTGTGTGCATAAAAGTTTTTAAAACGTACTTGAGTGTTAATTTTAAAAAGAATTTATCTGATTTATTGATGTCGAATATCAAATATCCCGTTAAGAGAAAAAAAGCGTAACATTTTTTTTTTTCAATACGAAAAAGAAAAAAAAAAAATAAATTCAGTGATAGTTAAAACTATTTAACATTCCAGTGAGCTGAAGTGTCAAATGTCGCGAAATGGAAACACCAATTATTTTATAAATTTTATTTACAAGTTTTATGAAAAAAAAGAACATCTTTTTAATTAAAAATTTTTTTTTTTGAAAAAAATTTTTACAACTTTTATTATTCTTATTAAGTTGACGATATTTCTATAACAATTAACAAGTATTCGTGGAATTGATTCTTTAAATTTTTAATTTAAAAAATATTTTATAAATAAATAATATAAAATAAAATCAATTTCAATTATTGAAAAAATAATTAATCAAATTTAAAAAAAAAATCAAAGCGACTTTTGTCGTTTCCACTTCATTTTGCCTCTAGTGCTAAAATTAAACAAAAAACGCTTTCGAATATGTAAACTTTAACTATTTCTCTTTCTCTCTCTCTCTATCTCGTCTCTCTTTCTCATGTCTATTAAGAATCTCTCTAAAAAAAAAAGAATGAATTGGATTCGACTAAATTTTCTATGATTTGTTGACTAATTCTTTCATTTTAAAAGAAAGAAATTGAAAAAGGTTTAAAAATTCTTATGAGAAGAGTGAGATTTGTAAATACAACAAACACTTGTTAATTTCTCAAAACATCACACTCTCGCCAACAAGTAAAATATACATCTTTCAATTTTCATTTATCTTCCTGTACATTAAACATATTAACTTCATTCGTTCAAATTACTACTTATTTTAATTTACTCTCAGCTTTATTGGAGGTTGGAACTTGATTTTAAAATTTTTATTCTATGGGTAAATCCTAAAAAAAAAATTTCCGCACATATTTTAAGAGATTCTCTGTATATAAAAAGAAAAAAAAGTACATTATCTTTTCATCACTTCTATATATATATAACTTACGAGTCAATTATCATTTATGTATTTACAGAAATATAGACATTTTTTCTATATTCGATTATTTTTTCAAAAACTGATAACTAGTGTGAAAATATGTAAATTAATTTTGCTTCTTCTATTGTTATTTTAATAGAATCACTTATTAAAAAATAATTTTTAATTAAACAATATTTATTATTTTAATTAATTATTAAAATTTATAATTGGAGAAATAAATTATCTATTTAATATTAATTATTAGTAATAAATATGAATTATATAATTCTTATTTTGATAATATTGAAATCTTATCAAAATAAGAGTAAATATGTAATGAAAAGATATTGTTTTTTTTTTAAGACAATGTAAAAGATACACTACTCTACTATTCTTTTTCTTGTTCCTCTCCTTACTTTTACAAGAATGAATGATTATCTACGAACGCACGAAGTTTGTTAAATCCCGTCATTAAGGGTTGAAATTGAACAGTATTATGGATATTCATAGACGCGTTTATTATTTTATATATAATAATAACTATTGGCATATATTTTAATACTTAGTTTAAAAATGTTTGGAAATATAATAAATTTTTACTCGAGGCTGGATTTCGAATTAAAATTCTAAATTTTAATAATAATTAATACAGATTAATAATTTTTTAATTATTGTAATTATTTACAATAATATATTAAAAACAATAATTATATTTTGTAGATTATAAAATATAATAAACAATAAATTCAAAAAAAAAAAAAAATATTAAATTAAAATATTTTTTCTAATCTTATTAATCAATAATTATTCTTATTTTTATATTTCGAAATGCAGCCACGATGGTCCAGATTAGAAATTTTAAATTTCTCATCAGAGAAACATTTTTATTTTATTAATTCACATTCTAGATAAATCTTATGTCGATTGACAGTAATTTTTGTTAAAGTTGTTTAAGGTTTTTTAAATATAATGAAAAAAAAAATTCTCATAAGAAACTAAGTGTAACTCATGTACTTAAGAGACAAAAAAAAAATAATAAGAAAACAGGAATAAAACAAAATATTTTTTCATACGTAACTTTTCTACGAATTCAAACGTATTATTGTGGTGATGATAATATCACATTATTTTTAATAGATTAATAATCAAAACTAAATATGCCGTGTATTATTAAACGGGTAATATACATATAAATAAATATATATATTAACTTATAAATTTTACTTGTATTTCGGATAGAGATAATAATAAATGTTAAAAAAAAGACTTGTCAGTAGTGATGTGTTTGTTTTGAAAAATAATAGTTATAGACATATCTTATTCTTCGAATATGTATCATTTTTTTTTATTTTGCAAAAGACAAAAAAAAAGTCATAATAAGCACTCTTAACTTTTGTAATAAAAAATTTTTCTTCTAATGGATATAAGACACGTGTCCCGAAAACTTTTTTTTTTTAGATGGTGTTTCTAAAAGTATGTGTTCTATTACTTTTTAAAAAGAAGAAGCACCATCTGGACTGATATAAGATTAAAGTTTTTGTTGGTTCAATTAATCCAACCAAGTTTTCTTTTTTCTTTTTTTTTTCATTTAAAAATTTATTATTAATTTCTTGTCACAGATTTTGCTGGTAAAATCGCACATCTCGTATGGCTGTATCCATTTGAATTATAAAAAATAATATTAAAAAAAATATATATTTATAAAATACCTTCTCATATAATGAGAATGTAAAAAAATATAAAATACAGACTTTATTGAAAAAAAATATATAATAATAAATAAGACTACCATCAATAGCATATCAATAGGAATATAATTATTCATTATTTGTCAAGATGGAAACAAACATGACGGGATGTTTTTTTTTTTAATTAAATTCTTGACAGCACAAGAATATTTTTTTTGTTTAAATAATAATAATAAATATTCGTTGATAAATTCTACTACAGCTGATTGTGTATAATGTTGCACTACTACTAACACCGATATTTGATAAAAAAAAATTTAATTATACAATTTACGCCTGCTTTAAGATGTTTACTTAAGAAAATGAAAATTGTAAAATATACTGCTTAATTTAATGAAAGTCAAAACAAAAAAAAAAAACAAAAAATTATGTCTGTTATACCATAAAATAAAGTGTACTTTAAGGAATTAATGTTAATTAAGTGATAACAATGTTGGTTTCTGTTATGTAGAAATTATGCTAATAATGTGCGCACATTTTGAAGGGAGGGACTGATACATTTTTAGTTTAATCGAAATTTTATGTACCTAAATTCCTAAATCAAATTAAAACAATGTATAATATTATAGAAATATAGAAACTTCAAGGCGAGAGAAAATAATAAATAGAATCAAAATATTAATTAATTAAAATAGTAATTTACTGAAAAAAAAAATCAAAACTACCTTAATTTTGTAATTTTGTATTTTTTTATTTGTTAAAAATTTACTGTTTAAAATTATTTTTCTAAACTTTCGAAATGTAAAAATAGAAATTAAATTATTTTTTTTTAATTTATGTACTCTTAGAATATAATTGTGAATTATTTAGAAGAAAATGGAAAATTTAATCCGCATTGAAGATAAAATATTTCTATCTATATAAACTAAAATATGAACAGTACCTCGCTTTAATATAATTGTTAAGAGAAAAAAAAAAAAAAAAAGTGAACATCTTACTAATACGATAAACACACGATTGTTTTTAGCAAAATATTGCTGGTTAATAAACAGAATGTGCATGTGCTTGTGTTCTTATCGATTATCCTAATGCTTCTTTCTTGATAATTTTGCTTCGCATTTTGTATCGAATGTAATGATTTTTTGTTAAAGAGTTAAACTCTCTTGACTTTTATTATTTTCGAAAAAAAAAATGAATGACAGAAAAATATACAAATATTTAAAAAAAAAAAAAAAAATTGATTTTGCTGCGAGACCACAATGGTATTTTAATATGGATTTATTCGACATCAACGCTTTATACTCATTGGAAATGTGATACCAAATAGGATTGAACTCTTCTATTACTCTGCTTCAGGTGAATTCTTTTTCTCATTCGTTTTTTGTTACCAAAAAAGCCAAATTTAAATATTTTAATTTGCATCTCCATCTGTCAAATTCAGTTGAATGTCCTTCATATTTATTTATTTTTTTACTATTATTATTAAATAGTGGCCAATTTGACAGAAAAAAATTTATCAACTACAAATTCATTTCCATGGGTGAAGGTTAAATTATTTTTTTATAGAAACAATCAATTGAAAAACAAAAACATTTCTTTTTTTGTTTTTAATTTAATTTTATTGTGTAATTTTTTTTTTAATTTCAATTTTAGAATAGTTCAACAAATTATATTAGTCAATTGAATTTTTTTCCAAAATTAATCATCTAAATGTAAATTAATCGATTGTTTCGAATAAATGAATAATATTAATTGAAAAAAAAATGTGCAGCTAACTGGTAACAGAAAAAAAAACACGCACGCATAATTATGTGTAAATAATATAACAATTAATTGAGAAGCACCTTATTATATTTTGCTTCAAAACTGTCATTTTTTAAAATATATGAAAAAAAAAAAATGCGAATGCATTGAACTGTGAACGTGAATATTAAAAGCGTTTTAGCTTTCACTTGTTGTTTTTCTTTAATATTAAATTTGAATTTATTCCATCTCCCTTTCAGGGACCTCCAGGATTAGATGGCATGAAGGTGAGCAATATATTTAATAAATTTTTTTTGATTTTTGTTTATAAATTAAAAATATGTTTGCAAAGAAAAAAAAACATCAAAGTAGAGAATTTAATTTGTAAATTAATAAAATAGTAAAATTTATCAAAAATGGTTATTTGTTAATAAGAAAGCAATTTTTTTTTTTACATTTTAGGGAGCACAAGGAGAAACTGGTACGAAAGGAGAACGAGGAGATCCCGGTTTACCTGTGAGTTTATTTATTTAATACATAATTACATAATAAACATAATTACTTTCATTTAAAAATATTTTTCTTTTTTTTACTGCAGGGCACTGATGGAATTCCTGGTACCGAGGTAAATTTCTGTTTATTAATTTTTTTCGAATATAAAATATTTTTGTTTTTGTAAAATTTGTTAAAAAATTAATAAATTTCTTTTATTTTGATATTAATTTAATTAAATTTTTTTATATGATTACAGGGTCCCAAAGGAGAGACAGGACTTAAAGGAGAATCTGTAAGTGTAAAATATTTATAAATATGCAATATTTTGCAATAATTTGCAAAAAAGCATTTTTTTTTTAATTTTAGAGATCCAGTGAATTTAATTTTTCAAAAAATTTTAGTATATACTGCTTTTATTATTTTTAAATATTATCTGATTACAATAGAAATTGTATTTTAGAAATTAATTGTTACCTTTCAATAATTATTAGTTTTTAATTAATTATGAATTAGTCATTTATTTTAGCTAATCGACATAGGTGAATTATATAACGAATTGTGTTTGAAGTTATCTGCTGCCACCATTTTAAATATAGAAAAAAAAAAATTATTCGCGTAAAGTTTGAACAATACACGTTGGAAAAAAAAACTGCATATTTTGCATTGCATTTTATACATACAAGATGTTTATTAAAATAATTAAAACACCTTTCATTACTTTTCATTCTGTTCAGTTTCGGAAAATGCATCATTTCAATTATAAATACATTGCATACGAGTTGTTTATGCCTGGCCTTTTTTGCACGCCGCGATATTTGTTTTCTATATTTTTTTAATGAATTAAATTGAATAATTTTTTAATGTTGCTACAGGGACCGGCTGGAAAACGTGGTAGACGAGGGGAAAAAGGAAATAAAGGTGATCAAGGTGTTCCTGGTTTAGATGCACCATGTCCTTTGGGTCCAGATGGACTTCCATTGCCAGGATGCGGATGGAGATCACCTCAGGTATGATGATAATTATAATAATAAATTTGTGAAAAATTAAAAATGAAATTTAAATATTTAAGGGAAAAAACTTTGTCAAATTGCAATTAATTTATAATTGAAAAAAAAACTTTCACCTCTTTCAAGTATATAATTCTAAATTATCAGTATAGTAGACAATTTTAGTTCAAACTAATAGTAGTTTTTAATTGAATTAATAATTAATTTTTTAGTGCATATTTCAAAAATATTTATATAATAACACAATTTCTATTATTAACATTGGTGTGGTTTTTACGAAATGCTTGTTTTTTTTTTGGGAATTGTCAAATCTATGCGCTTATTAGGATATCTTGAGTACAACATCGGCAGCAATTGATGGTCCAGAACCTGCTGAAACTGATTACGATGATCAAGGGGAAGAATATGACGATTATTCTGATCAAAATGGAAATCAAGCTGAACAATAATATTCATAAGCGCTGCTTTTACTCATCACATGACAATTTTATTTGAACACTCAACATCATCTTCTTTTATATATATATAAAAAAAAAAAAAAAAAAAAAAAAACTAACGAGTGCTTATTATATATACAAAACTGTGTGGTAGGTAAATGCATGAAGCCTATTATTTTATTAATAAAATTCAACTCTCGTAACATTATATAAAATGCTTTTTTTAATTTTTTATTCAATAATGCAATAAATAATGCTTTAAAAATTAGTAGAGAGAAATTAAAAGAAACACGTAGATTATGTAAATAATCTAAAAAATTTGTTCAATTAAATTAATTTCTTTTTAATTATTACTTTAATTTATTTAAAAAAAAAAATGATTTCAATTCTTTTGCAGCCAAAACGCAACATTTTACGCCAATGGCTTGAAGAAGAAGACCAGTAAATAATTACGGACTTTTTCCAAAGTCATCATATCATCTCTGTTGCATTCTGTTTTTACTCATCCGTGTTCTAAGACTATAGGTATTATACATTTAGTCAATACACATTTTAACACTAATACCTTGCCAATAAGTGTTGTAAATAAGTGTACTTTCAGTGTCTAACGTCTGCAGTGTGTGTAAATACAATTTTTCTAATAAATTAACTATTATCTTAGATAATTCAAGAAAAAATATATTACAAACGATAATGTCGTCCATTAAAAAAGATTAAAAAAAAAAAAAATATTAGGAATAAGTTTGCAAAAAGTCAAGTAATTACAGTCTGATAAAAAAAAATAGACAATTTTTATATAATAAATTATGCAATTGTCATTAATTTGACGTTAATAGTCAATAAATATAATCAATTTTAGAATATTAATTATTTTTTTATTAAAAATAATTAAATGACGTTCATTTTGAATGATCTAATGAAAATGTGTTCATCTTTTTCTTTTTATCAAGCTGAATATTTGGTTTTTCATGCAAAAGCATAAATAGACTGAATTAATATATCATTACCATGGTGATTTTTTTTTACCATCACCAATCAATAGCGTTGTACAATAAACAGTGGCTTTTTGATCAATTTTATAATGCATCTGATATCATCAAAGATCTCTGTCAACGCATTTAAACGTATATAAAAATAACATTGGAAATTTTATTTCATTTTCTGCGAAATGCTTTCTTTTTTTTTTGTAAAAAAAAAAAAAATTCTTTGCGAATATTTGTTATGTAAATAGCAATTATTTCGAGATAGCCATAATAATTTTAGAACAATGTAATTTGACATAAACAAAAACTTTTCAACTGTCTATTTTTGTGTATTTTACACGGCTGATTCGAAATATTGCTCACTGTTTAGAATACCCGGAAGAAGTAAATAAAATTATTTTTAATAATTGAAAAAAATTTTTATCTTCAAAATTCTCTAATATTATTAAAAACTTTTAATTTTCAAATGGAATTTTAAATCTCTTGATTTTTTTCGAGGTTGTAACACACTTAAAAATTCACCTTCGGGGACTTTCTATTTGTATTTCCAAATATATGCGTAAGTGGTTGATGGATTCAAAGCTCTTACGTATTTGTGTAACTAATTGAATTCTAATTTGAGCGTATTATACCTTTAAAATTATTGAAAGTAAGTTTTTTTTTATGGTTTTAAACCGATTTAAAAAATATTCTAGGAAAAAATACAATTACAGAATTTTATAACGGTTTTCCCGGAATTTTAAACAGGATTAACAAAGAATAGTAATCAATGAAAATGATTTATATCTATTTTTTTTAATTTTTTACACTCCGCCCAATTTTATTCAATAAAATAATCAAAACTGAAATTCGTCCATAATTGAAATAACTTATTCAATAATGAATTATCAAGAGTGAATTATACATCTTTTAAATTAATCTTTTATACAATAATCTATATATTTTATAAGCATATATAATAATATATATATATATTACTATATTTAATATAATTTTTACTGGTTACTATTCTTCATTAAATAGATTTGCATCGTTATACATTATATACCCAGAGAAAAATATTAATTAATTAAAGAAAACATTTTACAATTTATTTAGAAAGAAAACGATTGAAAACTAATAATGAATTTATTTATTAAATTAAAATAAAAAGCATATAAAAAAACAAATAAAAAATACATTTTTCATTTACCACATAATATAAAGATATTAATGAATTTTTAATAATATTGGCAATTAAATTGTGTTTTTGTGTGAAAATTTTTTTATTAAAATTTGATTACTAATATTAATTGATACTTTAAAAAAAAGATACTAAACTTCGTAAAAAATGTTTTTCAGTGGAATTTTAAAGTTAAAAAATTTTAATCAAAATTATAAAAATGTTTAATGACGTACTTTCAATTTTGTGCAGTTTTTTTTTTTATTTTTTGTAAAACATATTTTTAAAAATTGTTCATCAAATAAAAAGTTATTGTTCTAAGAGAACTTTTTTGTTTTTCATTAATAATAAAAATAAGAAATCAAACAAATTTATTAATTAAAAGAATTATTGTTTCTGATTTCTTTTGCAAATCAAACTAAAATAATTTTAAAAGATTAATTTTCTTTAATTCATGGAATCTTTTCTCTGGGGACTGAAACCTTAAATGTTGTACAGGTTTTAAATATTATAAGATAAATACATCTTTTATCAAAAAAGAGAAAGAAAAATATCAATCGTACATTTGCCAAACTTGTGATATGGAAATTGTATAAGAAAGACTGTTTTTTGATTTAGAAAATAGGTCCACATAATATGTTTCATCAAAATACCAAAATGCTGACGCCTTTTTTGCTTTTTTAAAGCAATACATAATTTAGAACAAAACAACAATAAACAATTTATGTATACACGTGCCACATAAATGAATAAGATATATTCAAATACTTTATTCATAAAAAAAGAGAAATAAAAAGTTCACTGTATTCTATGGAGAGCTTTGTAAGTATTCTATAGTATTTGCTTATCATTATGATAAGAAATATAATTTTATAGCAAATATATATAGTTTATTTAAAATATATTATCATTTTTTTTCAATGACTGTCCATGTGCAAGACTGATATATACATATGTCTAAAAAAAAAGACATAAAATCATATGTGTAATATCTAGATGAGCCCTTGAGATCAAAAATATCATAAGTCATAATATTTTTTATACAATAATTAATGGAAAAAAAACTAGATCTTAATTCTTACTGGATATATTATATAAATATAGATATATGTATGTGCATTTGTACATGTACAGTCAAAGTCATGTATTCTTTGACTCTAGTAGCTGTACGCTTCTAGAAAATAAATAGGTTTCATTTTCATTACATAGAGCTCCATGTGAGAGAAGAGATTTAAAAAAAAAACCTACTAGTATTTAAAGTAAACTGGACTTTTACTGTACATATTGGATTATGCGTATATTAACGACTATAATGTTTGAGGTAAATGTACTATAATAAATTTTTACAATTAGCGTTATAAAATACGAATTCTATAAAAGTACCCGACCTTAAACATGCACTTTTATATTATATTAATACATGTATTTCAAATCTATTCAAATATTAATAATATAATTATAAAACAAAAAAAATTAAACAGACTAAGTTTATGTTGAAAGCCAAAAAATTTTTCACACACTTCTAGATTTGCTTCTTTAAATATTATTATTATTAAATGTTACTATATTTAATTTCTAAAATATACACGAAAGGAAAATTTTCCTAATATTATAAAATGAGAATTTACTAATTTTTATAATTTGAAAATATGAAATTAAAAGTAAAGAAAAAGTGTTTGTATGAAAAGTTTGAAAATATTTTAATAACAATATAACAGAGAATTAAAACAGAACTTACTTGTATTGTAACTATTGTAAAAGTTTCAATTTTTTAACATATTTATGAATTTCTTCCTTTGGATATGGTTTAGTAACTAAACAGGTTGGTATATTTTCTGGTTGCTCAATCCAAAGTTTATGGTCAATATTATTTTCTTGTAATTTTTTATGCACATCATTCAAACTACTTTCATCAGTAACCTAATTAGAAAATTTTCAATTAATTTTAAATGCATCTCAATAATTAAGTATATAATAAAATAAAATTAGAAAAAAATTTAAATTCATGTTTTTATTATGATTTATAAATGAAAATATTGATGTATACTTAAATTTTGTTGTTTACCTCAAGTACAACTTTGTGCATATTGTCTAAATCTGCTAAATATTGTTGAGTGTATTCATCGTTATAAAAATTATGTATAACAGCAGCACATGCATGACAGGATTGTGCTATCACTGCACCAAGTGGCCATTGCATGTTTTTTGATAAATCACTACGAACTATAACGTACTGAATTAATTTTGACATCTAAAATCAAAAATAATTTATTCATATACTTTATAACCTATATAATAATATAAAGTAAAGTATTTTGTGCATATTTTTGAGAAAAATATAACAATTACATTACCTTTCTTTTATTTTATTTAAATGTCTACTTATAAAAGTTGTTTTTATAAATATTTACTTATTTTTCTACTATATATTTATATATTTTTACACTTTTTTAAAAGGAATTGTTTTGACATTTGACATGTGGCTATTCAAAACACCGGAATCTCATAGTTTGTGGGGTCTCCGCATGGGGGCGCATTTAGAAAAATCGATCGATATCTCGATTAAACAATTCTCGCGCGGTTAATTTAAATCAACAAAACTAATTAAGTTGTCGTGCATAAATAAATTATATTATTAAAGGTTAAGTTCCATTGTTTATGTTTGTGACCAAAGACTTTTCGACACGTAACCACCTATTGGCGGGCTTAACCGCGAGACCCCGCTTCACAATTTGATGAGATTCCGGACCAGACTGTATACGACCGTGGTCAAGAGTGTTATGTATAGTGTGTGATCATCCGTCAAGGGTAAAATTTCTATCTCTCTATATATATATATTTTGGAGGTAAACATTCAAGAATATTATGAAGATAAATAAAAAATTTATGATGCCTGCAAAAATAATAAGAAATATTATAAATAAACTATTAAATGTTCATCAAAAAACAACGCAAGGTGTACAAACGGCAAGAGATGCAATTGTACGTGGTGGCCTTATCATTATCAGTGCTGTGTTGATTGTATGGATATCAATTTTTCTATACACTGCATTTTATTATACATACATGCCAAGCATGTCATATGTTGGACCGGTTCATTTACAATTTCGGTAAATATTCAATTTTCATTTTATATTTGATTCATCACGTGACAATTACTTTTCACTTTTTGTTTTTTTGATATATATATAAACACAGAAACATAACCTCAAAATTTTTGCAGATATATTATTAAATTTTGTGTTAAGAGATAATATTATGTATAATACATGTTTATTATTAATAGTTAATAACAATTTATTAATATATAAAAAAATGTCAGGTCTTGCGAAAGTGTAAAAGGAATTTGCAGTTATCCGTCCGCTAATATACAATTAACGAAAAATCAACAATTTTTAATGGTTGGTCAACCGTATAAGGTTAATTTGCATTTAGAAATGCCGGAATCTCCTGCTAATAAGGAACTTGGTAAGAATTAGATAAAATACTTTTTAAATGTAAAAAAAAAATTTTTGGTTTCCTTTTTTCATGAAATTTTTTATTAAATATAAAAATCTCTACAAAATATTATTTCAGGAATGTTTATGGTATGTGGTTTTTTAAGAAGTCGAAATGGTATATTAGTTGATCATTCTTGTCGTTCTGCGATGCTTCATTATAAAAGTACGTTATTACATTTTCTATCAACCCTTACATTTTCACCGATGATGATTTTTGGAAGTACTGAAGAAACACAGAACATTGTTCTTGAATTATTTGGCAATTTTGAGGAAGATCAAGTGAATATTTTTATTTCGCATTTATTTTGTTATTTGAGTCTTTTAATAATGAATTTTTAAATATATATATATATTTTTTTATTAGAGTCAACCAGTGACACGTTTGGAAGTGGAGATTCAATCGCGACATATTCAATTTTATTCGGCAACAGTGACGATAAATGCTCATTTATCTGGTTTACGATATTTGATGTTTCACTGGCCCATTTTGACTGCCATTATTGGCATCAGCACCAATTTATTTTTCATAGCTTTAATTTGTACTTTATCGTATTTACATTTTGCTGCTGAAGAAGATGTCATAGATGATGATTTTGGATATGAGAAAGGAGATTTAGAAGAGGAAAAGGATCTAAAATCAAATAACGATCGTAACTATAGTTAATTTTTATTTTAAATCGGATTATTATTATTTTAAAAACTTAAAAAAACAAACTATATTTATTTATTTAAAGGATCTTCAGACACATCGTCTATGGAGGATGCATCTTTACTTGAAGACATTCCAAAGTCTCAGGAAGGACATTCATCACATTTGTTGGATCCAGTGTTAGATAAACCAAGTTATATTCAAGAGATTTCATCATTAATTGCTGAATCAACTGCAGGAGAGTTATCAAAATAAAAAACAATTTAATCTAATCAAAATGTTGATATATATGAGAGATAAAAATAGACTGGTCTGTTAAATTTTTTAAATCAGGTATGTTATAACTTTCTTATTGTTAATTGAGAAAAAAAAGTTTTTATTAAATTAAATTTATTTACAATTTACAGTTAATTAAAATTAAATAATTTTTTTTTTCATTAAGTTTATAAGAATTCATTTATTATTTTATAGAATTGGACAAGGATTTAAAAAAAAGAAAATTTATAAGTTGTGACCTTCAAAGAAGTGAAAATTAAATTAAAATTATTCAATTATTGAATATTTATAAAATATCTATAATATACAAAAAGAAAATTATTTGTATAACTACTATATTTATTATTATCAAAGATACTTTAATTTCTATTATAAAATAAATGTGAAAGTTACTTTTTTCTCTACATAGAAGTAGAATATTATTTTTTGATGTATTTTCAGTTTATTTTTAATAATTTACATATTATATATCTTATTGTTTTAAAATCGAAATGTTAATGTGATGTGAAATGTTGTAAATTGTAGAATGACTTAAACAGTGTCATAAAATTTTTCATTTGTAATTTCAAGTTTTATTACTTCAAAAATCATATATTACAAGTAGAATTACTATTTATTTTTTTATAATATTTTATTTGTGTATTATTTTAATTAAATAAATTAATATTAATTCTAATTTATTATATTATTAAACTATATAATATATGTTATTCAAATAAAAGTAATTGTTAAAGATTTCAATTACTGCAATAAGGCGGGAAATTTAAATAGAAAAAAAAAGTTTTTCCTTTTGTTAAAAAAGAAATACCATATAAATATTCAAAAATTAAATTTAATTTTTTTTCGCCTGACGAAATATCATTAACGAATTTATTATTCTCGTTAATAATCTCCATACTGGCCGAGGGTTATTATGCAACTCACCCCGTTTTTATCCTCCTTCATTTCTCTATATTCTTCGTCTCGGAAATATTGATAATTATATATATATACATACAGTTGGACATTATAAACTGATAAAAAAAAAAAATTAAAAATTATTGGATTGATAACGATAACATTGACACAAATGTAATCTAAATTGCATGATATTTTTCAAAGTAAATTTTATCATTACAAATATGCTAATTTTGTTGACACTTCATTCTAATTTTCACTAGTAGAATGGACATAATCAAGAATTTAACCGTCTTCATATCAGGATCACAAGATTGTAAGCAAGTATGACAAGTGAAGTGCGGTCAGCGAATCTCTCTAATCGTACAGTAGCAAAAATACCTCCGCGAATATTATGTTTGCCGTCGATTGGAAAGACACAATTTTGAGGAAGGCACCCCACGTTGAGACGCCCGATTGGTCCTTTGTGGTCCCTTTTGGTCCATATTGCCTCTGATGCTCTGAATTTTGGTGACTTAGAATGAAACCCAACAATGTATTTAAACTAACCTCTTTTGTCCCTCGTCATATTATCAATATAGCTCGAAATTTTGATCACACTTCTGCGCATTTGTTGGAGGAGAGAAATATATACTATTCTCATCAGGACAGTGACATCGTTTTTCCCGAAAAATAATGCTTATAAGGTAAAATCATCATAAATCCACGTAATATATATATGCAATAATTCTTTGTGTAATTCGCATAAAATTTACAGTTGAAAATACAAATTACTTTTTATGATGACGATACACATTTTAAAGTAAAACCATTTTCAATTTTAATAAATGATTTAATAATGAGGTTTCCCCTAAAATTGATTGTTGATATTGCACCTTGGTGGAGAGTCCCCCCTCCACCCCTCTTCATTTCTCGCGGGGTCATGTTGACAATGCTCTTCAGAGTAGCTATGCATGCGTTCCTGTTGAAAAAATTCCTCACGGGCGAAAGTCAAGGTATTGACGTAAAACAAAGATCACTATAGTCCAAGTAGAAAGAGAGATGGAGACCAACAAGCAATTTCTGTGCTCCTGATAATAGGAGGGGCTCGCTCGAGACAACCGCGCGCGAAACGTGACTCGTCGGGTGAAAATCAACTCTTCTCATTTATACATGTGCTCCTGGTATTTCAGAGCTCGCTTGCACCGAACAACGTGGGAGAAATCACTTTGCTATCTTGTAAGTACATACATATTTATATCCATATAAACGAATTTAAATTTCTTTATATCAGAATTCGAAATATTGTTAAATTTTAGGTTATGTTGCATACTATTAGTAAATGTTCAAAATTAACTTTTTTATACTTTTTTATGAAAAAAAATTAAAATTGTTATTTTATTTAAAAATTCAAAAATATGAAATTGGAATTAACTTTTGTTTAAATTCTCTCTTAAATATAATTTGTTTACATTTTACTCCATTTATTCGAATACAATTTTTGATTTTGTGTTTTTGAATATTATTCGATTTTGAATTTGTTAAAATATAACTAAACAATTAGAAATACGCTTAAATAAGAAAAAATTTGTTTAGAGGTCATAGAAATCATTTGAATGCTTCATTTTTTTTTTTTTAATATTAGTGTAATAATTGTATTTATACAAATCAAAAAATTGAACACGGCAGTTTAGTCTATAAATGGTTCAATATTTTACGTGTAATGGAATCGATTCATATGAAAAATTGACTGATTATTATTTCAGTCATGGAGTAAATTTGTTTTTTTTTTTTTTTTTTTTTTTTGTTGTTGTTGATGCAGAAAAGAAATAAACAAATCCTAGGTTCTTTTGCCAAGTGCTTTTTGTGTGAGTTCCGATTTTTGTTTAATAGCCAATTCTTTCTGTTTTTTCTCATCGTCACGTCGTTTTGCAGCTTCCTCTCTCTGTTGCTTTATTATTGCTAAACGAGCTAAATCTGCACGCGCCTCGTCGGTTTTACCCGCTGCATGCAATTTTTGATAATTTGCCTGGGCTCTTTGTTTTTCTAATTGTTCTCTGTAAATTTAAAAATAAAATTAAAATTTCTGTATTATTAAATAATAATACTTATATTATATTAATTTCATACCTTTCTCGTCTAGAGAGTTCCGGTTTTGATGCCGAAGCTAAACTTTCATTCAATTGAGATAATTTCTTGGTTTTTTTTTGTAACCTATTGGGATTTTCCACTTGAATTAAATTCTCTACACCCTTCGCTTTACCCTGAAAAAATTAACAAAAATATAACAATTTCTCGAAAGAATAAATATTATCGAGTAGATAAAATTAAAAAAATTATTTCTACCTCTGTCTCCGATTCAGATTCTGATTCACTTTCGCTTTCCGAATCCGAAGTGGTTGTTTTCTTTGATTTATCTTTACCCGTTGCCTTTGGATCTTCCTCTTCCTCCTCACTGGACGAATCGTTTCCTTTATTTTTCTAAAAAAAAAAAAAAAACCACCACGTATATTTACTATTTACTATTTAAAATTCATACTTTGTTGCGAAAAGGAGATAAAATAAAAAGAAAAACACAAAAGTCATTTACATTTATAGATAAAAAAGATTAATTATCAAATGACTCATTGTATATTGAAAATAACATTTGACATAGAATTTTTGAAAATTGTTTCCTTTTGTTATAGCAAATGAGATGAGATTTTAAAAAATTAGATGTATAGGGAGATAAAAATAGTCTATAATTAAAGTAACCAAATAACGGAAATTAAAGTAAAATTAAAATATTAAGCGATAAAAGTTTGTGTAATGTAAATTCCATTGAATATTCGAGTAAAAATTAACCGTAAAAAAAAACCTATGACCTTGTATTTTACAAAAAAAAGAAAGATATTTAAAACGTCGTGCGAATCAATTAACCTAAAAATACTAACTCTCCATTGTCGTCGTTCCTCGTCCTGTCGACGCTGCTCCTCTAATTCCTCAGGATTCGTGAAATGACGATTGCGTCCCTTGTGATTAACGAATTTTCCTAGAAAAATAACGAAAATTAATAATAAATGCGCATTTAGATAATCCCTGTAACCAGTGCGAGATATATTCTTTTGTCAAATTGCATATCGAAAGTAAGTAATAAACACATAGGAATTATTTACCTCGTGGCATTTTGTTGTTTCTAGGTTTTCAGGTAATTAAAAAAACAGAATTTGTATAATTTGCAAAATTAGACTTTGTTTTAAATGATGAAACCGAAATAGTATAACGTCAGAAATTCAACAACGCGGCTGTTAGGTTAAGCTGTCCGATCGGCCATTTTAATTTTACATTTGTTATGTTGCTTCCCTGTCTGATATTCAAAAATTTAATTTTTTTTATATAAATATTCTGTATTTTGGAATTTTCAAATTAAAGTTTTTATTTATTTCAAATTAATTTTATTCTTTTCCATTATAAGAATTAAAATTGTTGTTAATTATTTATTTTTAAATTATTAAAAAAAAAAATTGATTTATATTTTAAAATGATAAAAATTAAAAGAATAGCAATTTAAAGAGAAAGTGTTTTAAATAAATTAATCAAATTTTTCTCTTTTTTTTAACAAACAATTTTTTATTATTACAAATTAATTATTGACAGTGTTTGTAAATATAAGGCACTTTTAAACATGAGTATAAATATTATAAGTTAACAAATTTTGTTTTTTTAATATATATAATATATATTTGTTTATTTAACGATAATATTCCATTTATTGGACTCGGCGAATCGCGCGGCAAAATAAAGAGGCGTTTGTACGATCCAATCGTAAGTTACAGCTTTATCGGCATTTTCGATAGTAATTCGTAAAGATTCTTCATCTTTACGAAATGCTGAGAATGAAATTCGTGTACCAAAATGTATTTTAGGCAATCTCATAAGTTTCTCCTCGCCGTCCATAAAAATTTTACCTTGTGTTGTTATTAATAAGCTTCCTTTTCTTTTAAGATCGTCTTCCATTCCGAAATTATTTGACACTAGGGCAATTCCCTCATTACAATTTGCATCTGTTGATGTTTCTAAAAACTGCGAAAAGAAAATAGAATATATTTGTTTTTCATCAAAGAAATTAGTTTCATTTTTATTATTAATTTACTGTAGAAAATAATCATTTTTTATCAATTAATTTTTTTTTTTTTATAAAAATGTTTATTTAAAGAGAATTATTTATACCTTAAACTCAATGACATGTTCTGCATCAAATTGAGCGCTCTGAGAGAAAATTGTACTAATTTTGTCAGTAACTTTAGCTGTGATTTTTCCCTCATTTGTAATCATATAATTTTTATTTATTATTTCCCAATCTAAAAAACAAATTCATTATTTTTCGGCATTAAATAAAAATAAATTATTTTAACTCACTGTAGGATGGTAATGAAGTCTTAACAGTTCGAGGAACACTCCAAACATTATAATCGGCTTGTATTCCCACTCTCAGGATAATTGGCTCGTTAATTGGCAAGTCTTTAACAAAACAGGAACAATCAATACCTTCGTATATTGTCTCAAAATTATGTAAAGTTGAATTAGAAATTGCTTTTTGAACAATAAAATTGTGTTCTTCGCCTAAATATTCCGCATCGACAATATGCCATTTAACATAAAGACTCGCTGGTCTTTCTTCGATATCTAAAAATTGCACTGGGCCCATTTTTGAAACACATCCCAATTCTGAGATTGTTGATAAAATTCTTTCTTTGGCTTCATTTGAAGGTTGACAAAACGTTATACAGGGAACTTCTTCCGGCATTGGTACTGCAGGTATTCTAAAAATACAATGTCTTTTAGTAGGAAAAGAAAAATTCAATATTAACAAAAAAAAAAAATTACCTTCCCAAATTGCTGCTAGCGACAGTGAGTTCTTCAAATTTTTGTCTATTAAATGTATGAGGATAATTGAGCATTGTATGAACTAAATTAATTAGATGTTGTGTACTTCGAATTTGTGCTTTTACTTCCTGTCGACACGCTCTTAATGGTGCTAATCCTTCATTTTTATAAACTTCAGTTTCCAATCTAATCAGATCACGTTTACGATTTATTTGCTGACAAACTTCGTTTATTAATGCTTGATATGATTCATCCACATCTTCTAAAGTTTTTTTCGCACTATTAATTATCTGCAAAATTTTAGAATACAATTAAAAAAAAAAAAAAAAAATCTATTGAATTTTAAATCATTTTAGTAAATTGTAATTTTTGTTTCTTTTAATTAATAATTTATTTAAATTATTTGAAAAAATTCATGAATTATTAATTTTTTTTACTTGATTATCCGCGCTGTCAAGATCTTGTAATTGTTCTTCAAGTTTATTAATATATTCTGTCGCAGATTGTGAGATTCCTTTGATATTTTCTTCAACGTGCTTTGGCAATTGTATATCTTTTAATGAATCGTCAATTATAAAATTTTCCTGAATTGCAGAAGACCATGTGGCATTAATTGACTGTTCACTTTGTTTTTGTTTTAAAATTGCAATTGACAAGCGATCCAATAAATTGTCTTCTATTGATTTTCGTATATTATAATTAGAATTTGTATTTTTTTCTATCTTTGGTATTAGAGGTTCACTATTTTTAATTATCATTTTTTCATTTAAATCGTCAACTATATTTTCTTTCATTTCATCCATGTTTGGAAAATTTTTTTTTAACTTTTAGATCATTTATTATTATGGAAGCTCTCAATTGAAATATATCTGAAAATAAAAAGAAATATTAGAGTGTTAATTTTCAAATATTATTCGAAAATTTGAGAATCAGAATTCATTTATAAATAACTGATTTTTTTTCTCATCTAATTAATAATTTAATTAATATTTACTGTTAAAAATTTAAATGTTGATTTATTAAATTTTCCCAAGAATATTTTCGATAAATTGATTTAAGTGATTCAATTTGAGTAGGAAAATTCTCACAATTATCAATTTTTTTTAATTTAGATGATTTTGCATATTGTTGAATTAAATTTTCCCATGAATATTTAATACGGCAATTTGTAAATTCAGTTTCAGTTTCTTTATCACTTGAAGTTTGTGTTCTCTCGCAATATAAAATACGAATTTTATTTGAAGATTCTTGACATTTTGAATTGATATTTTTTTGAGAAGAATAATTTTTTTTTGGCAAAAGAATTGTACCTTGCCAATAATCATCATTGGAAATAAAATGATTTTTGTAATCGTTTATTGAGACTTGTGTACTTTTTCCTATTATTTCCCACGAATATTTTACAGTACACTCATGTTTATTATTTGTATAATAAGATGTACCAATATTTGATAAAGTGCAATTTGACGTTTGTGTTTCAATTCCAAAAATTTCCCATGAATAAGTTTTTTTTAAATGAAAAGTTTTTTGATTATTATTTATATCTTTCTTTTGCAATGGGGATAACCAACTATTAATATCTTGCCACGAATAATTTATTTTATTTTCACTTTTGTTTATCGATAGTTTTTCATTGGAGCTACTTTGACATGAAGTTTTAGAGTCATTATTAGAAAAAGTGAATATATTTACAATTTTATCATTGTAATTAGTTTTTTCATCTTCTTCTTTTTTTTGCTTTTTGTCTTTTTCACTCTTGAGTATTATTTTATTAATTTCTTTTTTGCTTTTTTTATCTCGTAATTTACTTTCTGATGGTGTTTTATTGACATTTTGGAAATATACTGTTTTTTTCTCTTCAATAACACTTTTGCTTTTAGTAGTAGTTGCCTAAGAAAATTTACAATTTTCATAATAAATTGTCTTCATATAGGATATTAATATAATGAGCAATAATAATTTAGATAAATATTTTTGTTTAAATTAGAGAAGTAAAAATTCAAAATCACTTGTTTTTTGAATCCTTTGGTGTTTCTTGATCGATCATGAAATTTTTTGTTTTCTATCAAATTGTCAATAAATAATTTATCACCAGTTTTGTTTAAAATTGTTGAAAATATGTTTTCATCTTTTTTGATAAGCATTATATCGGTTTTTAAAAGGTTTTCTTCTATTTCTTTTAAATTTTTTTTAAAAATATTATCACCATTTGTGTAAAAATCAGTCATTATTAATGAATTCTGCTTTATTGATGACATTTTTATAATAAAAATTTTAGCTTGAAAATTAAGAAAATTAGTAATAAAAAAATAGTCTTGGAAAAATTTTGAAATAGGTTAGAAACTATAAATAGGTATTCTTCAATGAAAATTAGAATATAAATTAAATTGCAAAAGAATAAATATTGTTATTTAGATAATTAAATAAATTTTATTAGTTTAATTAACAAATACTTACTTAAATAATAATTGTTGAGTATTTAATAGAATATTATGGGTGTGGCAAGAAAATATTAGACTATATTATGCTCTCGTAAGACATACTTGAATTTTTTCCTTTCTTGCAATTTTTAGTTACTTTTAAATAATCTTTATTTGAAATAGTGTATTACATTATTGACTAAAAATTTTGTAAACAAAACTTAACAACAAATTTTTTAACGCCATGCCATATTTACTCACAGAAATATGACATTTCTATAAATGGCGCTTATTTCATACTTACGGTAGGTAAAACAGGAAATGCGCGAAATTCAAATATTTTCGCTTCCTCGTGGAGGAAGCAATGTAGTCCTTTCGTTTATAAAACTTTTCAAAGTGGCGGAATCAAAATTTTTTCTTTATAGAAACATGTTATATGAGATCCTGATCAATTGTCCGGATGTATGCCTAAGAAAAATTGAATTTTTTTGGCAACC